CTAAGCTTAAGAGATAAAAATTAATTAAACTTTGGATACCCTGTCACAGAAAAAAATTCCTTCCTCTGCAGAAAGTGCCAAGTTATTTATAACTCTCTCCCATAAGATTCCAAATATGAGACTGAGAGAACATTCATTATCTCAACCACTTCATCCATGGATACATGAGCGAGAAATACAGAGTTCATGAAATTGACACAGAAATATAGAATTTTACATATTAAACCAAGTGATACATGAATATACACACTTGAGTATGATCTAGTTATAGTTTTGAATTCAAATGCTACAGTTGGGTTTTTTTTTCTTTTTAATAATTTCAACCTTATTTTATAAATAAGGTGGATTATATGATTAAAAATCCAGGCAGATTTCCTAGCCTCACTCTCCCCCTGTCCTCTCCTCAGCTTCTAAACTAGGCAGATCACCACCTAGTTCATAGACACAAAAACACATGTTCATTGTTATTTTGAGTATTATCTTTCAGGTTGAAGCTGCACACACTTATAGTATGCCTCAGATTTGCATTACATGACTGGTTTAGTTAACTTTGTAGAGGTGTCAATTGAAGCACAGGACATGTAATGTTTTTTGATTAATGTATAAGTAGAAGTTTTCTTAGTTCTAGTATTTGCCATATGACTCTCTAATTTTTCACTCCAAGTGAAGCTTTATAATTTTCATATCCTAAGCAAAAGGTTTTTGTTATCTTGAGAATGACTTGACCAATCTAGACATAAATTCACTAAAGTATAAAATGAGACTACATAGTACTGACCTAAAAAATAAATCTTACAAAACTTTTGTCTACATGGAAAGAATATTGACTGGTTCACTAGTGTTTATATAAGAAAATATTAACAAAAGTCTTCAAATTAACCCTCTATAGAAATAAAAGGAAAGATAGGAAAAAAGCAATTTCTAAACCAAATAAGTTTAAAGTTCACTCTCCTATCCAAGAAAGAAGTGTGCAGAAAGTGCAGAAATCAACAATATCCCCAATTCATTCAACTTTTACCAAATTAGGTATTCTGTACCCAACTATATAACTGTGTGGACAACTGCTAACACCAATATTTTCAATCTTAACTCATCATAATGATGCTTAGAATTCTATCAAAATTAAAATACAGTTAAACATTTCAAATTAAGCATCTCAGCTTTAAAGAGAAAATAAAGACTAACACTTATAAATATGTTATAGTTTAAAAAGATTTTCACATATATCATGTGAAGAAGGCATGAGTTATTCTAAGAAAAGAAATAGTAGCTTAGCTAGGGTAGATGACATCAACGAAGGCAGCTACAAACTCAGTTCAACAACCACATTTTCACTCACTTCTTTAACTGAAGGACTTGATTAACAGGTTATTTATTACCAGTTCCTAAAATAACATCATAAATGATCTGCTCTAATAAGAGATGTGGGTTCAATATCTGGGTCAAGAAGATCCCCTGGAGTAGGAAACGGCAACCCAGTCCAGTATTCCTGCCTGGAGAATCCCATGGACAGAGACACCTGGCAATAGTCTATATAGGGTTGCAAAGAGTTGGACACAACTGAAGTGACTTAGCACAGCACAATAAAAAGAAACAGAGCTGATATATATTCACTGAACATATATCTCAAAAAAAAGAAACTATTTCATTTTAGCAAGCATCCAAAATGCTAATGAATTTGCAATGATTACAAATTTGAGTGTGTTTTTCAATGTTTACACTGAACTTACTTTAAAAACCACTACAATATTGTAATTAGCCTCCAACTAATAAAAATAAATGGAAAAAATAAAAAAAAATTTTTAAATAAAAGATTTTAAGACCACATAACACTTGATAAAACAATATAATTATAACTTTTAATACATTTTGATTCAAATGTCCATTGTCTGAACAGTTAATTTCAGTAGCTTCTGTTGATTAATGAATGCTTAAATCGGCAAACTTTTTATTCATAATGCCCTCTACTGGTAGCTCAAAAAGTTCTGATATACTTACTACAGGAGGTTGGATTAATTTCTTTAATGTGTTCCTGTACCAACTGCATATAAATCTCTTGGAAAGTTTGTTAAAAATACAACTTTTCTTCTCTACAAAGTATCTATAGATCCTGAAGTAGTCTGAGACAGGATCTACAACTCTGCATTAATAAGCAGAGAATCACTGGCTTTATTATACCAATACCCAATTTCTGAAGCACAGTAACTTAATGAAAAGCTCTAGGAAGGCATTACTATGCCTCTTTTATAGACAGAGACTGAGGCTCAAGACAATTTACTCCAGGTCACATGCTGAAAACCAGCAGAGCAACTAATACTTCCTTATTTCTGGAGGTATGTACACTTAAGAGTAAAGAGTAACAAAACTCAACCAGCTTTAAAATTCTAGTTTTATTTCTTTAGATATGGTTTTTGAAAGCAGTACATGCTACACCTTCTCAAACATGACTCCACAAGAGAATCACCACAGGAGTAAACAAAAATGCTTACATCCAGGTCCCACTCCCAGCAATTCAGACGGAATAGGTTTAGGGTCAGTGCCTGGCCTTCTTTTTCTTTTTTTAAGCTCCCAAGTGATTATAATTGGCCACTAGGGCTGAGCACCACTTAGGCCCATTGGTGCTCAACCTTTAGTGTGCACAGAATCAGGACACAGACCACTAGGCCCTACCCCCAGAGTTTTCAATTCAGTAAGCAGGGCAGGGTTTGAGAATCTGCATTTTTAACAAGTTCCAGCTGGCTATGATGAGGCTGGTTCTGTGCCTACATTCTGACAAGTGGTTAAGCACAGTAGCTAGTGGTCCTCAACACCTGCCTACACATTAGAAACACCTGGAGAAATTTTTTAAATTGTGATAGCCAGGCACACCCTCAGATCAATCCCATCAAAATCTCTGGGGTGCGGTCCAGAGGACAATATGTTTAAAGCTTCTAAAATTAAGAAGGGTTCTCTACAGCAAAGTCCATAAAACCTACCAAAGGATGTATAGCGATTTCCGCAGTGGGTAATATAGTACACAGAACTTCCATAGCTTTTTGTCTGTCATGGCACAGAACAGCTCTGGATGTGTGAAACACCAGCCCACAGGATAAAGTGGAAACGGCTTTATGAAGCTGAAAAGACATTTCCCTCTAACCCCCATCCAGTCTCATCTTTTGCCAAACCCTCCCTCCCTCCGCTGCCTGTGTTCCTATTAAAACATTAGTAACTCTCTATTGTAATTATCTGTTTTAATGTGACTCTTAGCACTATTTCTGCAAGCTCATTGAAGTCAGAGATTGCTTCTCATTTATCTTTGATTCCCCAGAGCCTAACATGATGCCAAGCATAGGTGGAGCTCAATAAACATTTGTTGAGTAACTGAATTCAGATTAATATCTCTACTTTTTATAGAAAAGGTAATGTGTAAAGCATGGCTTTTATGCAGTGTAGCATGTGCAACATCTTTTACACAGCTAAAATCAGAACTATTTCTTCTTCATAGAGCTACTTTTATGTAATATTGCCTTAAAAAAAAAAAAAAACCTATGTGCACTTAGAGATGATATGTAACTTGGGTTCTGTCCCCTCTTCAGTCATTAGTAACTTAAGAGTAGCAAAAAGCTTTGGTAACCTTTCATTCTAAGAATTATATTAGCCAAGTGATCCAAAAAGAGGTACAAATGCTTTGCACATTAATTAGATAATGTTTCCAAAAACTCTTAAAAAGAAATAAGCAAAATCAAAAATTGCTATTGTTTTAAAAATCCAAGTTTTTAAAACTCTGACTTCATAAAATCGCATCAGCTTTTGGTTTTGTTTTTTAATTGTAAAGAACAGCATTCTTCTGAGAGCAAGCTGTATGTCTAATTCAGGTCAAGCAATTTTGGTATATTAAAAAAAATAACTGCAAATATTCTCCTTTAATGTCATGAAAGAAAACATCTGACTTCACACTACAAAGATGGCATGGTTAATTCTATACCTTTCCAGAACTATGTTTTCTATATACTTCATAAATATTTAGTAATCACATATGAATTAAGTCTCAAAGCACTGAAAGACTAAGTTGCTCCTCAAACTTTCTCAGTCTGAGGTACTGTAAGACTGTATTGGATGAAATCAACCATATTAACAAATATTAGCATGTTTTTTCTTTTAAAGGGCAGTGATAATTACCTTAACACATACTACTTTTTATTCTGGAGGAGGAAATGGCAAACCACGTCAGTATTCTTTGCCTGGAAAACTCCACGGACAGAGGAGCCTGGTGGCTACAGTACAAGGGGTTGCAAAGAGTCAACACAACTGAGCGGCTGAGCACGCACACAGAGTCAACACGTAATTACTGAGCGCCCGTTATGGACTGCTGAAGACTCCTGAGAGTCCCTCGAACTGCAAGGAGGTCCAACCAGTCCATCCTAAAGGAAATCAGTCCTGAGTATTTATTGGAAGGACTGATGCTGGAGCTGAAACTCCAATGCTTTGGCCACCTGATGCGAAGAACTGACTCATTAGAAAAGACCCTGATCCTGGGAAAGATCGAAGGCAGGAGGAGAAGGGGATGACAGAGGATGAGATGGCTGGATGGCATCACCAACTTGATGGACATGAATTTGAGCAAGCTCCGGGAGTTGGTGATGGACAAGAAAGCCTGGTGAGCTACAGTCCATGGGGTTGCAAAAAGTCAGACACGACTGAGAAAGAAACTGAACTGAACTGAACATTATGTGTCAAGCACTATTCTTGGAGCTATAGTTATGCAGTAAAGAAAAGTTCCTTATGAAGCCTACAATCTAGCCAATTTTTTTGTAGAAAGGAAAAAAGTAGATACATTTTTGTGGTCCAGATGATCAACTGAAGTAAGCATTCTTTGCAACAGAGGGAGAAGACTTCAATCTAAAAGCTACTAGTTTATGAAACTTGCTGGAAGACTCCCAGCAACTCTGAAAAAGCTGATAACCCTAAAAGAAAGAGTAAAATAAGAAATAAATGAAATCTTAAAATTAAGTAGTATTTACCTCTGAATTCCTTCCAGAATATCTTTAACAGCTGCCATTAACTTTTGAAGATATATAAATGCTTCTTCAAATGATGCTATTTTTGAAGACGTCAGAGTTGAATTTGAATCCAACCTTTGAAACACATCCATGCTAAAATAGAAAGAAGAAAAAATGCTCATAGGTACACACGCATATTTACTGTAATTCAAGTATTTCGACTTCTAATGTATAAAATAATGTTTATAACTTATCGCTCATAATGTTAATCTGTTTAAATGAGAAATAAAAGAAATGTCCAGACTACCATTCATGCAAAGAATAGGGGGTCAACAACTATATAGTTCTAAGAAACTGTGTGAGACCGTAAGAGATAGAAGGGAAGTCATGCTATCAATCCATATTCAAGTCAGTATGTAAGTACAGACCGTACTCCCATATACAAGGATGAAGAAAAAAAATCACACATCAGATTTAGAGTTTGCTGAAACTGGATGTTACAAATGTTCATACACTTTGCTCTGATAATTCCAATTTTAGAAACAGGCACAATTAATAACTACCTCAATGTACAGTAATATTTTTAAAAAGTGTTAAGTAATAAATTAGCTACCTGATGAAATATCAAATAACTATTAAGATGATGCTTATGCCATCTATGAAACAGAAAAATTAAGGTAAACAAAATGTACTCATATAACATAAAAACAACCATATAAAAACTCAAAACATATGCTGTATGGGTTGAACACTGCCTCCCCCACCCCAAAATCCATGTTCACCCACAACCTCAGAATGTGACCTTATTTAAAATAGGATTTTTGCATATGTAAGTTAAGTTAAAATGAGGTCATACTGGACAAGGGTAGACACTTCCCTACGTGAAGACGAAGGCACAGACCGGACCGGAGTGATATATTTACAAATACTGCTGGCAGCTACTAGAAGTTGGAGACAGTCATGGAATAGATTCTCCCTCAGAACCTCCTAAAAGAACCAACTCTGCAGACACCTGGATTTCAGACTTTCTAGTCCTCAGACTGTGACTGAATAAATTTCCGTCACTTTATTTTTCAGTATTTTTATTGAAGTATAGTTAATTTAGAATGTTGTGTTCATTTCTGCTGTACAGCAAAGTGATCCTGTTTTACACATATATGTACACAATTTTTTAAATGTTCTTCTCCATTATGGTTTATCATAAGATACTAAGTAATAGCTCACTGCACTATATAGTAGGACCATGTTGTTTATCCTTTCCTTATATAAAAGCTTACAGCTGCTAATCCCAGCCTCTTAAGGTTGTGCATAAGGGCACTAGGGCTTCCCAGGTGGCTTAGTGGTAAAGAATCTGCCTGCCAAGCAGGAGACAAGGGTTTGATCCCTGGGGCAGGAAGATCCCCTGGAGGAGGAAATGGCAACCCACTTCGATATTCTTGCCTGGGAAATCCCATGGACAGAAGAGCCTGGCGGGCTATAGTGCAAAGGGTTGCAAAGAGTCAGACACGACTTAGTGACTAAACGCCACCACCATAAGTACTCAGAGTACTTTTATATGAAAAATAATGCATGGGGTCTACCAGATTTTCAAATAAACATCTCTGTGTGAAAGGCTCAAACATGAATATGTTGAGAAGTTCTACAGTGACTCTGGTACACAAGCAGGCACAGGAAACAATGAAGTAAGCTTTGAAAACTAGACAATAAAGTAATTATAAGCATTTTTCACTTACTGAAGGACTATAACATAAAGCATATTATCCAGAAATTAACAAGAGCTCTGTAACATCCAACACAAATGTATGTATATTATAGGTCAGTTCTAAAGTACATAAAGTAGTCAAATGTTTTCTAAATGAAAGAAAGATTAAAATATCTTAAATATTGTTTTTGCTTTAATATTCTTTCACTTAGTCAAAGGCAAAGGGGAAAAGGAAAAATATACCCATTTGAATACAGAGTTGCAAAGAATAGCATGGAGAGAAAAGAAAGTCTTCCTCAGTGATCAATGCAGAGAGATAGAGGAAAACAATAGAATGGAAAAGACTAGAGATCTCTTCAAGAAAATTAGAGATACCAAGGGAACATTTCGTGCAAAGATGGTCACAATAAAGGACAGAAATGGTATGGACCTAACAGAAGCAGAAGATATTAAGACAAGGTGGCAAGACTACACAGAACTGTACAGAAAAGATCTTGATGACACACATAACCATGATGGTGTGATCACTCACCTAGAGCCAGACATCTTGCAGCGCAAGTCAAGTAGGCCTTACGAAGCATCACAACGAACAAAGCTAGCGAGGTGATGGAATGCCATCTGAGTTATTTCAAATCCTAAAAGACGATGCTGTGAAAGTGTGCGCTCAATATGCCATCAAATTTGGGAAACTCAGCAGTGCCCACAGGACTGGAAAAGGTCAGTTTTCATTCCAATCCCAAAGAAAGGCAATGCCAAAGAATGTTCAAACTACTGCACAATTGCACTCATCTCACATGCAAGAAAAGTAATGCTCAAAATTCCCCAAGCCAGGCTTCAACAGTATGTGAACCGAGAACTTCCAGATGTTCAAGCTGGATTTAGAAAAGGATCAAATTGCTAACATCCACTAGATCATTGAAAAAGCAAGAGAATTCCAGAAAAACATCTACTTTTGCTTTATTGACTACGCCAAAACCTTTGACTGTGTAGATCACAACAAACTGTGGAAAATTCTTAAAGAGATGAATACCAGACCACCTGATCTGCCTCCTAAGAAATCTGTATGCAAGTCAAGAAGCAACAGTTAGAACTGGACATGGAACAACAGACTGGTTCCAAATCGGGAAAGGTGTACATCAAGGATGCATACTGTCACCCTACTAATGTTCTTGTCTGGAGAATCCCAGGGATGGCAGAGCCTGGTGGGCCGCCATCTATGGGGTCACACAGAGTTGGACATGACTGAAGTGACTTAGCAGCAGCAGAGTATATCAAGTGAAAGGCTGGGCTGAATGAAGCACAAGCTGGAATCAAGATTGCCAGAAGAAATATCAATAACCTCAGATATGCAGATGACACCACCCTTATGGCAGAAAGCGAAGAAGAACTAAAGAGCCTCTGGATGAAAGTGAAAGAGGAGAGTAAAAAAGTTGGCTTAAAACTCAACATTCAGAAAACTAAGATCATGGCATCCGGTCCCATCACTTCATAACAAACAGATGGGGAAACAATGGAAATAGTGACAGATTTTTATTTTCTTGGGGCTCCAATATCACCGCAGATGGTGACTGCAGCCATGAAATTAAAAGACGCTTGCTCCTTGGAAGAAAGGCTATGACCATCCTAGACAGCATATTAAAAAGCAGAGACACTACTTTACCCTCAAAGGTCCGTCTAGTTAAAGCTATGGTTTTTTCAATAGTTTTGTATGGATGTGAGAGTTGGACCATAAAAAAAGCTGAGCACCGAAGAATTGATGTTTTTGAACTGTGGTGTTGGAGAAGACTCTTTTGAGAGTCCCTTGGACTACAAGGAGATCCAACCAGTTAATCCTAAATGAAATCAGTCTTGAATATTCATTGGAAAGACTGATGCTGAAGCTGAAACTCCAGCATTTTGGCCACCTGATGCAAAGAACTAACTCATTGGAAATGACCCTGATGCTGGGAAAGATCGAAGGCAGGAGGAGAAGGGGACGACACAGATGAGATGGTTGGATGGCATCACCTACCCAACAGACATGAGTCTGAGCAGGCTTTGGGAGTTGGTGATGGACAGGGAAGGCTCGTGTACCACAGTCCATGGGGTCGCAGAATCAGACATGACTGAACGACTCAACTGAACTGAACTGAAATATTGTGTTAAACTATTTAGGTTTCAAAGTGATTATCTCTGTTCTGTATATACAACATTTTGCTTACAAGAATATATAAGCCACAACATTAAAAATACATTAAGACTGAACAAACAAAACCTTTGCTTTATATGATAAGAAAATTTTAAATATTGTTTTTTTTTAACCTCACACATCAGATATAGTTATTTCTTTAGTATAATAGACTATAATTTGTCTCAAAAATTTTTAAATTATAGTCAAGGACTAAAAATCAGTTCTAAATCTATAATTGAATGAGAACAGATGTTTAAATGGAATGCTAAGATCACTTTACTGCTCTTGTAAACAACTAGAATGGAGAGAGGCTCTTAATCCAAAATAACAAAATGGGCTCTCAAACCAAAATCATATTACAAGGCATACAGTATGATCGACATAGTTATATAGAGACTATGGGCTTGAGGAAAATTATGGAAGGGAGTGTTGGCCTACTTTAAAATCAATTGTTTTCTATTATTTTTTAAGTTACTCCAGCAACCTATTTAAAGACCTACTCACAAATGGTCTCTATCTTTTCATTTTACTAAGACCAGAATACTTTAAGTGTATGAAAGTAACAAAAGTATTAATCCACTTAAGTATTTATCTTTAAAAAAAGTTTTACATGAATTTTTCCTAATCCAGAGCGATGCTTTCTTTACATTATTTTGCATCTTATTTCTCAGAAGCCTTTGGATCCTGCTAATTTCTTTAGCCACTCCTGGTGACTATTCATTGGTTTTGACATGTTGGCAAACGATCTAACATATTTAGCAATGATTCTCATCAGTTTCACATCTGAATCACCTAGACAGAAGCACTAGTTCAGCTTCAGTCCTGAAGTGAAGTGAAAGTTGCTTAGTCTTGTCTGACTCTCTGTGACCCATGGACTATAGCCTGCTAGGCTCCTCTGTCCATGGAATTCTCCAGGGCAGAATACTGGGGTGGGTAACTGTTCCCTTCTCCAGGGGATCTTTCCAACCCAGGGACTGAACCCAGGTCTCGCACACCGCAGGTGGATTCTTTACCAGCGGAGCCACCAAGGAAGCCCTGTGCTACTGAATTAGAATTTCTAACAGAGAACCTAACCACATATATTTTTTACCCTATCCAGATAATTCTGAGCCCCTTTTTAAGCAGCACTACCTCTAAAGTAATTTGACAAAAGGCCCTCATAAGATAATCTAGTACAAACTATATTATTAAAGTTACAAACCAGGGCTTCCCTGGTGACTCAGTAGTAAAGAAGCCACTTCCCAATGCAGGAGACACGGGTTCCATCCTTGATCCAGGAGAATCCCACATGCCACAGAGCAACTAAGCCCATGTACAACAACTACTGAGCCTGTGCTCCAGAGCCTAGGAGCCACACTAGGGAAGCCCATGCACCCTACATTCTGTGCTCTGCAAAAAAAGAAGCAATGAGAAGCCTGTTCATTGCAACTAGAGTAAGCCCTGCTCGTCGCAACTACAGAAAAGCCCAAATAGCAACAAAGACCCAGCACAACCAAAAGTGAATAACCAAACAAACAAAATTTTAAAAAAACTAAGACACTTTGTAGTAAAGAAAAAAAAAAAATTCACAACCCAAACACTATTTAATGAACACTAGCAATATTGGACGGAGAAGGCAATGGCACCCCACTCCAGTACTCTGCCTAGAAAATCCCATGGATGGAGGAGCCTGGGAGGCTGCAGTCCATGGGGTCGCTAAGAGTCGGACACGACTAAGCAACTTCACTTTCACTTTTCACTTTCACTCATTGGAGAAGAAAATGGCAACCCACTCCAGTGTTCTTGCCTGGAGAATCTCAGAGATGGGGGAGCCTGGTGGGCTGCCGTCTATGGGGTCGCACAGAGTCGGACAGGACTGAAGTGACTTAGCAGCAAGCAGCAGCAACAATGGAAAAGCCTGAAACTCGAAAATTCTTAATTTAGTACCTGTTTTGATAGAGTGTAATCCAAACATTCTCTAGGATAGACCAAATTTCTTGATGCCTGCTGGTTTGAGGAGGATAAGAACCGGATAAAACGGTGATTTCTTGGTTATCAGATTTCATCAGAGAATTATCTTCCTGGCCTTTACCCGGTGTATTTTGTGAAGAATTTTGCTTAAGTTTTGGCTTGACCTGGGAAAATAAGAATTACATAATATGCAGCTAGTCCTTCACTAGTAAGTGAGAAAGAAAGAATGTCAATTGTAGATTACAAATGTTCTGCCTTTCTTGGAAGTGCTATTTATTCTTTGTCCTTGATTATGTACAGAATATTACCAGAATAGAATCAGAGTTAAATTTTTTCTTTTCCATTTATATGAAACAGTATTTCCAGTTTATTTATTACAGAGTATAGAAGGAGAATTCTACTTGTAAGGGATTAAGAAATAAGTGAGCAAAGAAATGGGAACAATGGTTATATACTGCTCTTTTGAGAAGTTTGGTAGTTGATGGAAGGAGATGGTGCAGTAAATAGCACAACCAATTAAAAGTATTTAAGAACAGATCTGAGCATATTTCTAAACAGTGTGAAAAAGCAATACCATTGACTCAAGTGATATTTTCTTAAAAAAAATCACCCTGGGGGAAAATATTAACTTAGGTGAAAAATGCATATGATAGAATGGAAAAAAGTTTTTAACTATGAGTTTATTGAGTTTGTTGACTTGGCTCGTCTATAACATCTTTGTGAACTTATATAAAATTACTCCATTTCTCTAGGTTTCGTTTGTTGATAAAAGTATGATTTCAAACATTAGCTTCATGCTTATCAAATTTTATAAAAAGGAAATTTCCAAAACTGTAACAACAGTTGATAGTTACTGAGCATTTCTTATGTATAGGAATTTCCTAAGAATTTTATATCTATTTAGCTCATTTAATCTTCACAATTACTCTATGAAGGAGATACTATGATTATCTACATTTTATTGAGGCAAAGAAAGGATAAATAAGTTATGCAGGGTTACACAGCTGGTAAGAGTATGAACAGAATCTGACCTTTAGTAGTCTATGAATGTGGTTATACTCTCTCTCCAACTCATAAAGGTAAATATTACCTTTTTATTTCTTTTCAGGAAGGAAGAAAACAGCCTGTTTACATAATTATGAACTTAATAAATACACATGAATGTATGAATTTTGTTTTGAGATAAATGTGTTTAATCATCACATAATGCTTTTTCTCAGCTCTCAAACAGAAGTGTATGCAACATACAAATAGGCTGCTTTATCAAACACTTACACAGCACTTACTATGTACTAGACTCTACAAATATTAATTTAATTCTCATGACAGTTCTAAGGCAGAGATTATTATACTTTTTCTTATAAAAGAAGGGCTTAAGGCTCTGAGAGGTTAAATAACCAGAAATTAAAAACACAACTAGTCAGGATGGGAAGTCTGAGGCACGTTAAATCTAAAGTTTATTAAAAACACTTATTTTAAATATTCTATCATTCTGGAAGGTCAAGTCTTTTTTTTCATGATGTTAAAAGTTTCATAAGAGAAAAAATATATATCCTTTCCTCTACCCCATTTATATAAAAATCTGGAAAATGACAGTACTTAACTTTCCATTTTGGTTTCTCAGAATCAAATGAATAATGAATATTCCTCTTTTCCCGATTTTCTACACTTAGTAAACTAAGATAAGGGGATTTTTTTTTTACAGTTACTACACTTAGACACTCTATTCCTGGAGGTAATCTCTTTCTTTTCCTTGTTCAAGTTAGTGACACATAACTAAGTATTCAGGTCATAAATCAGATGCACTGTATAAAATATTGAAAGTGCATTTTAAAAGCCCAAGCTAAATCACAATGTTCTTGGCTGACTTAGACAATGAATTGTTTCAAACACGAAAATAAAGCAATACTTGAAAGCTCTAATTGTGGAAATAACACAAGTTGTTTCAAACAATCAGACTAATGCTTAATGTTGAGGGAAAAGCACTAAAGAGAATACTAGATTTTTTGTCCCTTGTCTTCTTGAATCTCTTGCTAATGTGGCAACTAGAAAATCAGGATCCAAGAATAAATAACTTACTAAGTAACAAGCCAATATGTTTACAAGTGGGCAATATATAACAGGCATACAATTATGTGACAAATAACACTAGATTTTAATATCAAACTTTTCATGGAAGAAAACTCCCATGGCTAGGTTTCCAACTGATAAAAGAATCTTGGTATCATTTTTATCTCAGTCATTCCTAATTTTTTAATTCTCAATAATTTTAATTCAAAGGCTGCTAAGATTGTAAGTATCCTAAACTTTCCATTTTGTTCACCATGGTTGTTTCACTAAAGATGGGGTTTTAGGGCTCAGTTCTGTGAGGGAAAGGATAATGTGCTCTTCCCTACACAATTCAATTATAATACTCAAGCTGCAACTCCTAAATTCCCAGGTCTATTCTTCCCTACTGAAGATTCTAAAAGTCACACTTGCCATTTAAAAGAATAAGCACCAATGTTTTGATCATCTTAAACTAAAAAATTATTCACCCCTTAAATCAATTCTTTCCTCAAGAAATAACATATATTTCCTCTTAGTTTATCCAAAAGATGCTTCTTTTAGTCTTAAGCAAATTAAATCCTTTCCTCAGTGATTATGACTAAGTTTAGTATCATCTAATCCTTTCATTACTTCATAGGTACCAGGGCCTATGTTACCAGAAGAAAAACCACAGAGGAAAACCTGGCCAATTCAATAACTCAAAGGAAAAAAGATACGACACACACATACACACACATATATATACATTAGATGAAAGTATCATTGATATCTAATGATGTAATTGTGATGCTGAGTTTTTTGAACTGTTTCAGGCATATAAAATGACCTGAATTTTCTAGATTTGAAATCAGAAGACTCTAGAAATATAGTATTACTAGGGACAAAATTCACGTAGTTATTTTAAAGGGGCAAAAAGTTATCAGTGCTGGGCAGATTGCATAAGAATCACATGAGGAGACCTGTTAAAAAACTGGTAGGTCAACTGGTAAAGTTTGAATACGGTCTGTAGGTTAGATAATTGGATTATGTCAATATTAATTTCCTAATTATACTAGTTATATAAGATATCCTTATTCATTAGGAAATATATATATATGGAAATATTTAGGGGTAAAGCGATAATATCTGCAAAATACTCTTAAATAATTCAGAAAAAAAATTCTGGATAGATAAGTAGACTGGTAGGTACAAGACAGAAAATAATAAAAGCAAATGTGATAAAAGGTTAACATTGGCAAATGGGGGTAAAGGACACATATGAGAATTATTTATGTTATTCTTATAATTTTTTTGTAAGTTTGAAATTATTTCAAAATAAAACATGAATCAAGAACAAAAATACTTCTGGGCACCACTGACAGAAATTTTACTCAGTAAGGGGCATGGCATCTGCATGCTTAAAAAAATTTCTGAAGTATTTTAATGCATGCACTGAAAAATGAGTAGTCAAGCAACAATGCATAGTTCTCTTCTATTCATAAATGAAACAATATGAAATCCCAACAACTGCTCTGACACTGCTTCCATAGGAGTATGAGTGTTTTATAACTTGTAGTAAGGATTGTTCAGTCTCCATTCAATTCACTTAATATTTACTTAATGCTTTTAGTATGTTAGAGTATGTTAAATTTCCTACCTACTGTTGTCTGATAAATACATTCTTATAACATATGATTACTCTAAATGCATTCTAAAGGTATCTTACCTCTGCAAATGTTTGGAGTAGTTTGTTCACTTGAGCAAAGGCCTGTGGAAGAATACCATCATAATTTGACCTCGTACTAAAAGCATGTAGCAAACTTTTAGAATCCTGAAGCAGGAATTTCATTGTTGTAAAATCCACTGCTTTATTAGCTGGTAACAGAAAATTAAGAAGGAAAAAATATATAAGAGTGAGTATACAACACAAAAATGCTTTCGGAAAATCAATCTAATAATAATTAAGAAATTTAAGGAGAGTATACATTTACATCTACAGGCTCCTAATTTACCTCTCTGGTGTAAAAAGCCATAATGAGACTTAGTTTTAGACAAAGTTCTTGGAGTTGATTCTGGCATTCTGTGAAGCTCGCCTTCCATATCTGTAAGTTTTCACATGTACAGTTTCTATCAACTATAGATCAAAAGTATTTGGGGGGAAAATGTTCTATAATGTTCCAAAAAGCAAAACATGAATTTGCTGTGCACTGGCACCTATTTACATAGCATTTACATTGCATTAGGTACTACAAGTAACCTAGAGATGATTCAAAGTATATAGGGGGATATGCGTAAGTTATATACAGATACTAAGACATTTTATACAAGGGACTTGAGCATGGAAAATTTTGCTATCCTCAGGGGTCCTGGAACCAATTCCCTGTGGATACTGAGACTATATTCAGATTCCAAAATTTCCCTCAAAAAGGTCAACTTCAAAGTAAAAGTGAAATGCACAAGTTACTATACACAAAATAGACAGATAACAAGGTCCTACTGTATAGCAGGAAATGGCACCCCACTCCAGTACTCTTGCCTGGAAAATCCCATGGACTGAGGATCCTGGTAGGCTACAGTCCATGGGGTGGCAAAGAGTTGGACACGACTGAGCGACTTCACTTCACTTCACTGTATAGCATAGGGAACTATATTCAATACCCTTCAATAAACCACAATGTAAAGAATATGCATATATATGTATCCGAATCATTATGCTGTACACCAGAAACTAACACAACATTGTAAATCAACTACACTCCAATTATACTTCAATTTTTAAAAATTAAAAGTAAAATGAAAGAATGTTATACTCTTCAGAAGAGATAATCACCAAACCTGAGTTAAACTACAGATTTTCAAAACTGAGGTTGTTTGTAATCTTGTATGTCTCAAGATTACTCTTGAGACATCACGGTGTCCACATTTTGTTGGTAAGCATTTAAATTATACGCAGTACCTTTCATAATCAACTCAGTAATCATGTAGTGACTTATCTTCAAATTCCATCACATGAAATATAATACCAGATTTATTGAAAATGTGTTCTCTTTGGACACAATCCAATTTCAGTGAAAAATAAACTACTTGGGTTAACAGTGAGCTATGGGCAAAAGAGGCTAATAGAATTTTCCCCCCTTAAATTAGCAAAGTGAGTTAATCTACAGGTAATAATTTAAAGATGTAACATTTTTGTCTCAAGGAACTAAACTTGCTTACATTAAATTCTCAAATCAATTAGGAGAAGTGGTGACAATAATTTCAAAGACTCAAAGTTATGAACAATGAAGTTAAACAACTTTCTAATGTTACCAACATTCAGAACAGAAAAAATTATCTCTATTATTAAGAGAGAATACTGCATAATAGTTTTCAAAGGCATTTAAAATAACCACAGTGCAATGTGTTTGCTTTGTTTTCTTTTAGGTTCACAGCTTCAGAAATTCTATTTTATTCTGAAACACTGGCACTATGAGTTAAAAAAACAGTTTTTCTGTATAACTTACATAACAAATATTTGCTTGTGAAATCCTGAAAGGTTAAATGAAAATAAAAAGTGGATTTTCATAATTAATTACTCAATATTCTGAAATTCTGATCTAATGTGATGGTTACAGCCAAGATTCTGGCTACCCTTTTATCAAGCAAACAGTGCATCTCCTTACAAAACGCTTTCGGTTATTTTTAAAATCAAAGACTAGTTCAAATTCCTATGGGAAAATTAGAGATAAGAGATGCTACAGAGGACAGAAAGGAGGTAAATCTCCTCAGAGGAGGCAGTTGGGCACAACTTCTTTTAATGGTGCTTCTCCAGTGTAGTATATATTTGATAGGGCTGAAATCCTTGAATTAATCATTTTATTTCATCTTAAAAGAATTCTTTACTAAAGATTAAGGCAAAAGTATAATGCCAATGATCAATTCAGTACTTAGACAAAGCATTAAAAAAATCTACAAGGCTGAAATAATTTAATGTTTATATAAGGTGAACAATTATTTAGGTGAAAATTAATATGGAAAATGAAGTCAGAAGAAGCTACTACTCATTTTCTACATAATTTTCTATGAATTGATCTAAAGCGACATGCTTGGTACAGTAAGTTAAACACATGTATAATTGAACAGCTGTGGATACTATTTAAAGATTATAAACAAAATTATCTGTAATTTTTTCTAATTCAAAATTATTTTACAGCAGAAGGCATTTTTATAATTCTATTACATATGATTCACAAGTCTGTAAACATTAGGCATCAGATTCTTCTAGATCAAAGACCAATAAATTATGATTACACAATAGTCCTCCAAATGAGTTTTTAATGAAAGGAATGGTCATCTCTCTTCACTTCTCTTGTTATTAGAGAAAAATAGAACTACTGACTACTACCTCTAAGTTCCATAGAAGCACAAAAAAACTGCCCAGCCCTGGAAAACAGACAAATGGAAGATCGCAACTAGATATCCCATTTTTGAAACCAAGTCTTAAGATCACACATGGTTTATGGACTTCTTTTGACAGAAGCAACAAAATTATGTCCCTAGTAAAAGATATGAACACTGTTTCTACATATCTTTTAAAATGCTTTGAAGACATGTTTAATATGTCATTCCTTAATAGTAATACCCCTAATAAATATTTTATAGCTAAAGGTCAATGCCTGGAATGTGTATCTTTATTTTAAAAATCGGTAACTTTAAAAAATAAATATTCATGCAACATCCACTACATATATGTCATAAAGTATTGATTAGGAACTTTAAGTTTCCTGGGGAAATTTATAAAGATGTAAAACATTTTCAGAGTTTACACTTCAGGGGAAAAGAGAAGTGGTATATCCATCATAGAATGTTTTTGTTTTATCTTAGCTTCTAGGAAGCTTAGTGCTAAAATCTGTGTTCAAGTGCTGCAATAATTGTTTGCACATGTTTTATACTAAAACTATGTCTTTTATTCTTCTTCACTACCTGGCTCTTGTACCTTTAAGCCTAACTTAAACTCTCTTGTACTGAGGTGGTCATTTAAAGGCCCATATATACTGTTATTTTTAAAAAGTAGACAGGATATAACTAATACATAACATAGATCACTTCATGAGGAGTTTGAGAAAAGTCAAGAACTAACTGAACATCGTAATAATGGTTTATACTTCCCTTTTCAAAGGTACAGCAAAAGAAATAGAGCTGTTCACTCTGGACAAATTACTTACTCTCTCAAAGCTAGTTTCCTTGATGATAAAACACAGACTTTAGTAATATTTATTTAGTCGCTAAGTCATGTCTGACTCTTTTGAGATCCCATAAAGTGTAGCCCATAAACATGCAAGCAAAGTAATGCTCAAAATTCTCCAAGCCAGGCTTCAGCAATACGCGAACCGTGAACTTCCAGATGTTGGTTTTAGAAAAGGCAGAAGAACCAGAGATCAAATTGCCAACATCTGCTGCATCATCGAAAAAGCAAGAGTTCCAGAAAAACATCTACTTCTGCTTTATTGACTATGCCAAAGCCTTTGACTGTGAGGATCACAATCAACTGTGGAAAATTCTTCAAGAGATGGGAATACCAGACCACCTGACCTGCCTCTTGAGAAACCTGTAGGCAGGTCAGGAAGCAACAGTTAGAACTGGACATGGAACAACAGACTGGTTCCAAATCGGGAAGGAGTACGTCAGGGCTGTATATTTTCACCCTGCTTATTTAACTTATATGCAGAGTACATCATGAGAAACGCTGGGCTGGAGGAAGCACAAGTTGGAATCAAGACTGCCGGGAGAAATAGCAATAACCTCAGATATGCAGATGACACCACCCTTATGGTGGAAAGTGAAGAAGAACTAAAGAGCCTCATGAGGAAAGTGAAAGAGGAGAGTGGAAAAAGTTGGCTTAAAGCTCAACATTCAGAAAATGAAGATCATGGCATCTGGTCCCATCACTTCATGGCAAATAGATGGGGAAACAGTGGAAACAGTGGCTGACTTTATTTTTTTAGGCTCCAAAATCACTGCAGATGGTGATTGCAGCCATGAAATTAAAAGACGCTTACTCCTTGGAAGGAAAGTTATGACCAACCTAGACAGCATATGAAAAAGCAGAGACATTACTTTGTCAACAAAGGTCCGTCTAGTCAAGGTTATGGTTTTTCCAGTGGTCATGTATGGATGTGAGAGTTGGACTGTAAAGAAAGGTGAGTGTCGAAGAATTGATGCTTTTGAACTGTGGTGTTGGAGAAGACTCTTGAGAGTCCCTTGGACTGCAAAGAGATCCAATCAGTCCATCCTAAAGGAGATCAGTCCTGGGTGTTCATTGGTAGGACTGATGTTGAAGCTGAAACTCCAATACTTTGGCCACCTGATGTGAAGAGCTGACTCATTTGAAAAGACCCTGACGTTGGGAAAGATTGAGGGCAGGTGGAGAAGGGGACAACAGAGGATGAGAGTTGGATGGCATCACCATCTCAATGGGCATGGGTTTGGGTGAACTCTGGGAGTTGGAGACGGACAGGGAGGCCTGGCATGCTGCAGTCCATGGGGTCGCAAAGAGTCGGACACAACTGAGTGACTGAGCTGACCTAAAACTGTAGCCCACTGTTAGATCAGTGCTTTTCACATCTTCTGCTTCTTAGCAGAAAAACTTCTTCTTTTTTAATCACACATGGAATCTCTCTACATAAATAAATAAAAGAAAACTGAATGGCTAAAGTTGGGGTTGAAGGCCAAAGGCCCACTATTATCAGGCTGCCCATTAACCTTTCCACCCCTAATCTCTGGCAACTCCAGAAGCACTTCAAGAAGGTTCTGTGTGATACAGTTTAAGAACTACCAACTAAGTGGTTCATTCTAGTCTCTTGTGGTTCTAAAATTCATTTTGCACCAAAGCCAAAGGATTCCTATTCCTTAACCATGTATTTTAAGTAGAAATCTTGATAAACTATTTGAACATCAAAAATGATACAATGAACAGTCACAATCTTTATGAACTCCATCCATTCATCTAGCTGCCATAAATTTCCTTAAGAAATTAAAAGTGTAAATGGTTGAGAAATAATTGAAAAATTTTTTATTAATTCATCTACACATGGGATATAGCTATTATTCTGACTTTAATACAACACTTCCAAAGACAAAATGAAAGATTCATACCTTTACGGAGATTTTCATATAGACTCTCAATGGTTAAGAGCAAGTCCTTTTCCATAACTAATCCAAATACAGCCAACCAATGTCTTCTAAAACACTGTAATAAATGTATTAGAGTCCATGGAGGTTTCAAGTACAGCATCTAGAGAAAAATAGCATTATTGATGTATTTATTATTCTGTTATTTAAAAGTACCTATTTAGGAATTCCTACATATATTTCTAGGCAAAACATAATGGAATTCTTCTTAAACTAAAAGATGTTTTATTAAAAGCCAGTCACAATGTTAAAATGCCTATTCCACCGAAAATTGCTTTTATAAAATTCACATTAGTGGTAATACTTACAGTTTCAGAAACTATGTGTGTCAAAAGAAAGAATAGTTTTAATCAGAAACACTACAGTTCTAGTCAGCAAAAGTTGTCATCTACCTTTCCACATGGTCATTTCTACAAAAAAATCAATCTAATTTCCTAAAACTAGAGAAAAACATCTATATAGAAAAGAATTTTCAACTATAATTGACACTTGCTACACTCCTATAAAGACATGTTTATAAAGAAAACTCATCATTAAGTACTACAAGATGTCAGTACATCCTTTCTTCAATCATTCATATGCAATCACTTTATTAGACTCTATTATGAAATCTAATTTACATCAGCCTTCCTAGAATCTGATCATTCTTCAACATCTTGGTTTAACACTTGATAGTATAGTCAAGCCACACTGACAAATATTAGAATCTCATTGAATATCTGGGATAGACACAATTGATAGGGAATAAACTTTCTCCTAATGATAAATGTGAATAGCAAACAAACATTAAACTAAGAAGGCCACGATTCCCAAATGTGCTGTTTATTTATTACAGAAAAGATGTGAATCTAAAGAAAATTCAAAATATTCTACTAATACCAAATTTATACTCTGATTCTCAAACTTACATCACATAAGCCACAATATACACTTCCTTTTCTGAGTAGATATTGCTAAGATAATTCCCTATACTAGACATTTTGACTCAAATAAACTAAAAATGAGACATTTTCTTTCAATTTAAGCTCCATGGAGGAAATGTGTCTGACAAATGGTAGACACCCAATAAATATTTGTTCACTGAAAAAATGAATGAAAAAACTGTCCTAATCTTTAGGAAATATCCATCAGTTAGTTTTTAAAGTTATTCTAAAAACTTGAAGAAAAAATTAATGTGATATCGATTATTACAATGAAACATATATTTTATAGAAATAGTATTTCTTAAAATAAGGCAACAAATCTTTAGCAATAAAAAAGAAATTTTTAATGAAGCATTCAAATAATCACCTCCATCCAAAGGTTTCCAAAAGCAATTTTCATTTCTGTTTCTAATATTGAAGATAAAGCTGTTCCAAGAGATCTTTCGAGATCAGATACAATGCTTTCAAGTAGAACGGGTAGTCCAGAGTTTGTAGATTCTTCCTCATAGCTCTCCTCCAAAGGTGCTTTTTCTTCAAAACAAATAGTTACAAGCTTTACTTAGAACATTAATAGTAACTATTTTACATATATAATTAGTATTTGGCCATAAATAATAAACATTTAATGGATATAATTAGTATTTGAATCTAGAGAACAAATGAATATTTTTAAAACAAGATTTTTGGGGAGTTCACTAGTAGACTACTGGTTAGGATCCAGGCTTTCACTTGCCCTGGCCCTGGTTTAATCCCTGGTCGGGGAACTCCTGCAAGGCACGTGGCATGGCCAAAAATAAATAAATAAAGAGTATTTAGAAATATTTAGTATAGCTGTTTTTAGATGCAATACATATTACATTAGTAAATGCGTTATCTTTTTGACAAAAGGCAATGAAATGTTTTTACTAAAATAGAAATTTGAGAGAAAAAAGAAATTTGAGAAATGTGGGAGGAGGAGCTAAGATGGCAGAGGAATAGGATGGGGAGACCACTTACTCCCCCACAAATTCATGGAAAGATCATTTGAACGCTGAGCAAACTCCACAAAACAACTTCTAATCGCTAGCAGAGGACATCAGAAAAGCAGCCCATTGTCTTCAAAAGGAGGTAGGACAAAGTATAAAAGAGAAATGTGTATATTTTAATCTTTAATTATTTAAAAAATTAAAAATTAAAATAATTCTTTGCATCTAAATATTTATAATAGAAAAACCAAGAACTACGGCTCAAAATGTGTTTACTTCCAAAAATCATAAACATAACTCATATCAATAAACTGTCTTGAAAAGACTAGAATCTCTGACTTAACTACCTATATACCTTTACTTTCTAATATTAGTTTTATTTTTTTTTATATTATTTCATTATAATTCCTATTTTGACACCTGCAAACAACTTCAATTTCTTTATGGCAAAATTCAAAATACGAAGGGGATTATCTCTATGAACATGAAGTAAAAAATTTAAATGTCAGTAATACAATGAGCAAATCAAAAGCATATTTCCCTTGAAAAACTATAAAATAGAATATTCTGTAACTTCCTCTAAAGACCATTTAGAATATTATGACAAAGGAAATTTTATTACCAAAATGGTGAAATAAGCACCAAATAAGTGGCATATATTCAAATATGAATATATGAAGCATATGCATATGCTATTAAAGACTTCAATAATTATTTTTCCCTTAGAAGGAAATGGTGAGATATGTTTTTAAAGAATGTTTATATTAGTTTAAATTTAAAAACATTACTACTAGAGTCCTTCAAGTCTATTACTGTTTTACTGTATTAATAGAAAGTTACGAATATGAAACTAATTTTAAGAATAAACTATTTTCCCTACCTCAAATGGATATTTCTTATAGCTACTATTAATTTTAAAAGTATCCTCTGTGAAGGAAAAAATAGGATGCACATGGTGATTACAAATATATAAAAATGTATATGAGTGTACAGACAAAAATTTGAATTAATTTGTACAAGTATATATAGAAGGCATTAAATAATGTATGCTTTTTCTTGGATCACCATCATAATATTCATTCATTTCTACCATTTATGTGCCAGCAAATACTCCAAACAGTTTCTTTAAATGTACAAAATAAAAATTTACTATTAATTCCAACTGTTGTCAATATTCTTAGTACACAAAATAAGATATACTTCTAATTATTTGTAGTAAGAATACTACCTGCTTTCAATTGTTGTTTAGATATACAAGGCTGATGACATACATCTGTGTTCAGAGATAAGTTTAAAAACTCTGCACTCAATTCTTCTTTACTGAGTGACTTCACACCACTTATTAGGCCTTTGTTTCTTAAATTTCTATCATCCCTAGGTTGGATTAGGAGGAAAAAATATTTTATTTTTTATAAGACAAATCACATGGCAACTAAAATCACATGGAATCTAATCAGAAGCTGGTGATTCTCAGTACATATATTAATTAACAAAGGATAATTTTTTAATGCAGAAGATAGATTATCATACACTAGTCATATCATCTTAGCTTTTGAGAATAATTAATATTGTTATATATTGAATGTTTTCCTGGTATCAGGAACTATGCTAAGCACTTTATATATATCAATCCATTTAATTATCATAACAAACTTCTTAGGTAGGAGTGGTACTAATTTTTATCCCCATTTCACACATAAGAAACTGAAGTATAAAAAGGTTAAGTAACTTGTCCAAAGTTACACCAGGTAAGTGGGAGGTGGATTTGACCACAAGAATATGATCATTCCAAGCAAAATAAACATTAAGAGCCATAATAAAATAAATGATTTACACAGGGTAGGCAATTACAAATTTATTTAGAGTGGGCCTAAGGCAAATGACCTGCCTCCTGAGAAACCTGTATGCAGGTCTGGAAGCAACAGTTAGAACTGGACATGGAACAACAGACTGGTTCCAAATAGGAAAAGGAGTATGTCAGGGCTGTATATTGTCACCCTGCTTATTTAACTTATATGCAGAGTACATCATGAGAAACGCTGGGCTGAAGGAAGCACAAGCTAGAATCAAGATTGCCGGGAGAAATGTCAATAACCTCTGATATGCAGATGACACCACCCTTATGGTGGAAAGTGAAGAACTAAAGAGCCTCTTGATAAAAGTGAAAGAAGAGAATGAAGAAGTTGGCTTAAAGCTCAACATTCAGAAAACGAAGATCATGGCATCTGGTCCCATCACTTCGTGGCAAATAGATGGGGAAACAGTGGAAACAGTGGCTGACTTTATTTTTTTAGGCTCCAAAATCACTGCAGATGGTGATTGCAGCCATGAAATTAAAAGACACTTACTCCTTGGAAGGAAAGTTATGACCAACCTAGATAGTACATTAAAAAGCAGAGACATTACGTTGTCAACAAAGGTGCGTCTAGTCAAGGTTATGGTTTTTCCAGTGGTCATGTATGAATGTGAGAGTTGGACTGTAAAGAAAGCTGAGTGCCAAAGAATTGCTGCTTTTGAACTGTGGTGTCAGAGAAGGCTCTTGAGAATCCCTTGGACTGCAAAGAGATCCAACCAGTCCATTCTAAAGGAGATCAGTCCTGGGTGTTCATTGGTAGGACTGATGTTGAAGCTGAAACTCCAATACTTGGACCACCTGATGCGAAGAGGTGACTCATTTGAAAAGACCCTAATGTTGGGAAAGATTGAGGGCAGGTGGAGAAGGGGATGAGAGAGGATGAGATGGTTGGATGGCATCACCGACTCAATGGACATGGGTTTGGGTGGACTCCGGGAGTTGGTGATGGACAGGGAGGCCTGGCGTGCTGCGGTTCATGGGGTCGCAAAGAGTCGGACACGACTGAGCGACTGAACAGAACTGAACTGAACATGTATGGATGTGAGAGTTGGACTATAAAGAAAGCTGAGTGCCAAAGAATTGATGCTTTTGAACTGTGGTGTTGGAGAAGACTCCTGAGAGTCCCTTGGACTGCAAGGAAATCCAGCCAGTCCATCCTAAAGGAGACCTGTCCTGGGTGTTCATTGGAAGGACTGATGTTGAAGCTGAAACTCCAATACTTTGGCCACCTGATGCAAAGAGCTGAATCATTTGAAAAGACCCTAATGTTGGGAAAGATTGAGAGCAGGAGGAGAAGGGGACGACAGAGGATGAGATGGTGGGAAGGCATCACCCACTCAATGGACATGGGTTTGGGTGGACTCCAGGAGTTGGTGATGGACAGGGAGGCCTGGCGTGCTGTGGTTCATGGGGTCACAAAGAGTCGGACACAACTGAGTGATTGAACTGATGACTGAAGACAAATGATGTGAATTTGCCATATGCTGAAAGAAGCCAGGATGATTAGATATAATGGATAAGACCAGTTTATGTGGCTACAGAGAAAGTCAAGGACGTTAACAAATGGAAAGAGATTTAAGGGCTTCAATGCAGAAATGACATCAGATCTGTGTTTACCAAACTGTTGTTCTTGAGACTAGTAGGCTTCCAGCTTGTTAATGGCAGAGTAGCTTGGTCAGACTAACTTCCCATAGAGAGAATTAGAAAATCTAGACCAAAAACAACAAAAAAGGCAAAACCTATTTGAAGGCACTAAAGAGCAATAAAATGAAGGTAGAAGGTGGAGGGGAATCTACACTCAAGACACAGACACTGCAAAGGTTAAGAGCACACTTTTCTATCTTTTTGCCTGAGGGCATTCCCCAACTCATCAATGCTTTAGGACAGAAAGTCAGAGCCTTTGTGGCTTGAAATGTCAGAAGGCAATGTTAGGTAGCACAAGCCAAAACATTTAGACAGTTAACGGGAAACTGAACAAGGGAGGAAATCACAGAGTTGAGCCTTAAAATCTGCATATAAATTCAACCCAGAAAAAGAGCAATATACTTCCAAGAGACAAAGCAATCAATAGAACCAGGCTCAGATATGACACAGACGTTGAAGCTATCTGACAGGAAATTTTAAAGAATTTTGATTAATGTGTCAAAGGCTCTAATCGAAAAGGTGCACGTGTGCTAAGTCTCGTCAGCTGTGTCTGACTCTGTGTCACCTGAGGCACTGCAGCCCACCAGGCTCCTCTCTCCATGGGACTCTCCAGGCAAGAATACTGGAGTAGGCTGCCAAGCCCTCCTTCAAGGGATCTTCCCCACCCCCGGATCCAACCCACATCTCTTACAGCTCCTGCTTTGGCAAGCGGGTTCTTTACCATTAGCACCACCTGGGAAGCCCAACAGAATAGGTGAATAGCATTTAAAACCAGACTGAAATTAAAAATGCCTTCAACAAGTTCCTCAGTATACTCAACACAGGTGAGGAAAGACCAAACATTAAGACAGGTCAAAAGAAATTATCCAAACTGAAACAAAAGAGAAGAAAATGTTAAAAAATATATATGTAAGAGCTGTTGGACAATATCAAATAGTCAAATATACAGACATGTATTAGTTGTCTATTGGGTGTGTAACAGTTTATCCCCAAGACTTAGCAGTGTGAAAAAAACATTTATTATCTCACACAGTTTCTAAAAGGGAGGGATCTGTAAGCAGCTTGACTGAATGGTTCTGGCTCAGGGTATCTCACAAAGTTGAAGCATACTACTCCCCAGTGTTACAGTCACCTCATGATTTAATTGGTGCTCATTCATGTAGCTGTTGGTAGGGCTTAGCCCTTCACTGGCTTTTGGCTTGAGGCTTCAGTTTCTCACCAGGTGGGCATCTCCATAGAGCTATTCAGAGCATGGAGTTTGCTTCCCCAGAACAAGTGATCCAAGAGAAAGAAACAAAGAGTGTGCCCAAAAAGGAACTGCCAGTCTTTCATAAACTAATCTCAGAAGCGACATACCACCACTTCTGATGCATGCTATCTGTCACACAGACAACCAACCCTGGTACAGCGTAGGAGAGGACTACACAAGGGAATTAACACTAAGAGGCACAGGAATCCCCTGGTGGTCCAGCGGTTAGGACTCTGCGCTTCCATTGCAGAGGGTCTGGGCTTGATTTCTGATTGGTAACTAAGATCCTGCAAGTGGAACAGCACAGCCAAAGAAACAAAAACAAAAAGATACCAAGAGGCAAGGAATCACTGGAATCATCTTGGAGGTGACTACTACAATGTATTAATAATTCTGTAATACCAGAAGGAGAAAAGAGGGAATGGGACAGAAGACATACTAAATATTTAAAGAAATAATGACTGAGAATTTTTCAAATCTAAAAAATGAACACCAAACCATAGATCCAAGAAGCTCAGAGAACATCAAGCAGGATAATTTCCTCTCCTCTACCACAAGCATACAGGTTTCCCAGGTGGCTCAGTGGTAAAGAACCCACCTGTCAATGCAGGAGACACAGGTTCAATCCCTGGGTTGGGAAGATACCCTGGAGGAGGAAATGGCAACTCACTCCAGTATTCTTGCCTGGAAAATCCCGTGGACAGAGGAACCAGGCAGGCTACAATCCACGGTGTCACGAAGGGTTGGACATGTCTGAGTAACTGAGCATGCATGCTTGGATCACAAACATACACACAAACACGTGATACATCTGCTGCTGCTGCTAAGTCACTCAGTCATGTCCGACTCTGTGCAACCCCACAGACAGCAGCCCACCAGGCTCCCCCATCCCTGGGATTCTCCAGGCAAGAACACTGGAGTGGGGACATCTGCTAAAGACTTCTAAAAACAAACTGCTAAATAAAAAGACAAAAAATCTTGAAAGCAATGAGAGGGGGAAAAAAAGACCAAAAGAACATTACACACAGAGGAATTAAATATTTATAGCAGACTTCTCACCAGAAATCAAACAAGTTAGAAGAAAATGGAGTGATACCTTTAAAATACTCAAAGAAACAGAAAAAACAAATAACCCAGAATTGCATATCCAGTAAAAATATCCTTCAGAAATAAATGAGAAATAAACACACTATCAGACAAACAAAACAAGAAAATTCACTGCCAACGTACTTACATATGTCAAAGTTGTTTAGGCAAAAGGAATATGACCAGAAATCTGGCGCAAGACAGAAACTTGGATTCAAAAAAAGAAATAAAGAATGCTAAAAATGGAATGCAAGATAAAAACATTCACTTTCTTATTTTTAATTCCTTTAAATGGCAAATGGGTGAAGCAAAACTATTGTAAAGTACTGTGCTATTGTTTCTATAAAAGTAAAATATGTAATAATGATAGCATAATGGATGGGGGGAGAAATTCAAAGCATATTAAAATACTTATACTAAACATGAAGCAATATAGTATTATTTAAAGACAGACTTTGATCAAGTAAAGATGTATATTATAAACACTAAGGCAACCATTATAAAGTTTTTTTTTCAAAAAGGTACAAAGTCAATAATGGAGATAAAATGGCACCACAGCTAATCCAAGGGGGAAAAAAAAGGAAAAGGAAGAAAAGAATAGCTGAACAAATAAAAAATAATTAGCAAAATGGTAGATTTTGATCCAGCCAATTAAATGTGAATAGTAGAAACTCATCAATTAGACAGAAATTGTCAGAATGGAAAAAAGAAAAGCATCAATTATATGCTATCTACAAAATACTTTAATATAAAGATATAGATAAGTTAAAAGTAAATGAATGAAAAAGATATTTATTATAAATACAAAGCAAACAACACTGGAATAGTAATATTAATATTAAACAAAGGAAACTCCAGAATCAGGAATATTATCAGGAACAAAGACAGCGATTAGATAATGAGAAAGGTGTCAATTCTCCAAGACTATCCTAAATGTGCATGCCTCTGACAACAGAGCTTCATAATTCATGAAGTAAAACAAACAGAATGGAAACGAGAAGCAAACAAATCAATAAATTACAGTTTGGAAATTTAAGACTCCTTTCTCAGTAATTATTAAATAAGCAGACAGATAATTATTAATACTAAGGTTATAGAAGACCTAAACAACACTATCAACAAACTTGACATATATGATATTTATAGAATACTCAACCCACAAGAGCAGAATAAATTCTTCTTAAGAGAACATAAAACATTAACCAACTTTAGACTTTATTCATGGGCATAAAACCAAGTTTAACAAATCTAAAGGAACAGAAATCATATAAATTATGTTCTCCAGTCATATAACAGAATTAAAGTATAATCAATAACAAGAAAATAACTGGAAAATTTCCAAATATTTGGAGCTAAGTGCACCAAATATCTAAAAGCCTGTGAGTCAAAAGGAAATGGGTCATGGGGGAAATTATAAAACATTATTTTTTTTAATTTATTTTTTGGCTGCACCACATGGCTTGCAGGATTACCTCCCCTACCAGGGATCAAACCCCAGCCCCAACAGGGAAAGCATTGAGCTTAACCACTAGACCAGACCACCAGGAATTCAAATTATAAAGCATATTAAATTGAATTTTTTAAAAATAATGTATCAAAATTTGTGAAATGCAGCTAAGACAGTGCTTAAAGGGAAATTTACAGAAGTCTCAAATAAATGATCTTAGCTTCCACTTTAAGAAACTAGAAAAAGGGTACAAAACAGGCGAGAGCACATTTTCTGGGATAATGGAAGTGTTCTATGTATCAGGAGGGACGCGGGGCTACAACCAGGGTATCCGTTGTCACACTGTACAGTTAAGATTTGGGCATTTTAACATTATACAGTTTCCCTCAATATCAAAAGAACTGCATAAAAATTATCATATCATAGGACAGAGTAGATGGAAATATAAGGTAACAAACTGTAGAAACTTGATAATTATTGTAGCTGGGTACTTAGGAGTTTATTAATTCTTCACTTTGAAAGTTGTTGAAATTCTTCATAACAAAACTTTTTAAAAATTAAAAATACCGCTTTTATTTTTTCTGAAAAATAAATGAAGGAGAATATGGAAGCAGAGAGCATAATGGGTCTTAGAGAAGAAAAGGAAGAGGAAAAATAATATCACGACATAGGAAGGTGGCAGAGTAGCTAAAGAAAAGAAGACCACACAAGACCTGCTATTTGCCTGACTAAAGATTATGAAGGAAAGGCAGAAATAAAAAATGTCTCTGAGGTTTCTGGCTTTAGCAAAATGGGTAGAAGATGACCTTTTTTATTCAAAAGGAGAACAGTTTAGAAGGAAAGATTATGAGTTCATTTTTGGAGATGGCAGGTTTCAGATGTCTATGAGACATCCAAACAGATAACAAATAAATAGATAAATATATTAGTCTAGAGTTTAGAAGAGAGATGTGGACTGGAAATACTAACTGGAGGTTGCTGGCCCATACTTAAGATTAAAAATGTGAGTAAAGCACTTAGAATGAGATATAGTACGTATTATTTATAGAAGGTTTCTCCTATCATTGCCATTAATATTAATGTTAATTATCATCTCATCATCCCTTAAAGTAATAAAAATGTATCCTCACATTAAGTATGTTTGATTTACACAGTAAGTATGATTATCACACTTAACGGAAAAAACAAAAAAAGGCTTGTCTGGAACATGACAGTGCCAGAGGTAAAAGTAAAGGTTGAACACAAACTTTCGTTTCATTAAAAACTGTTGCATCTGTTTATTCCAAGACAGTGACTGCAGAAATAATGGAGAACTGATTAAATCTCACCAATTTAGTTTTCATTCTAAGTGGAACTAAAAAAAAACCAATTTTCTCTCAATTTAGCTTATCTCAAATTCAAAATGATTAACATATTACTAAACCTATTTCAGCTTTCAACAAACTCCAGGATGATATATTATGTGCTAGATTAATAAATAATTTGAAAGTAGAGATAGAAATCTGTTTCTTTTAAAATAGAAAATATAAATAACTTTATCTTTGAACACAGCTAAAATGATAACTGGCAACCCTCTTACAAGAAAAATGTAAGAACTATTCATTTCCATAATCACTCCATTTCAGAGAATTTAGCCATGATCATGAAACTGTAAAAACTCCATTCTGAAGTGAATACAATTCAGACTAACGCTACAAATTAAAATTGCTCTTATCAGTTCCTATAGTACCTTTTCTCATACATGATAAATACAATTTGGCTTAACATTATGCTACTTTTACCTTAGAACTAACTTATGAATATATTAGTTGGGAATGGAGGAATGAAATGAGGACAAGAGGAGGAGGAAAAACTCTTACTGAGATAATTTTATGTATGAGGCACTCTTCCAAGTCATACATGCATACTTTTTCTGATTAAATACTCACAATATCCTCATAAATGCAGGTATTATTATTCTCCCTATGCTTCACACATAAGGAAACATTAAGCTACTTTCCAAGTTCACAAAGCTGGTAAATGGTAGACCCAGAATTCCAACTCTTAACTCTGTTACAGGCACTCAGGATATAATTGCAACATACATTAGCCTTTCCCAACAAATTAATTAATTAACCCTCTTGCCTCATGACCAAAATGTAGATTTTCATTTCTAACTATTTTATTGGGATATTAAATTGACTCTCCCTTGCTTTTTCAAAAGTTTTCTAAATATCATATAACAAGTTGAAATGAAACTTCATGACATTCAAATCTCATTCCTCTACAATCTGCACATTATAAGAATGTGAAATATAACAATACATTTACTGGGAGATTTAGAATATTATGTATGTTTTTGATCCTTGGTATGGCCATTACAGTATGATTTTTTAAAATTAATGGAAACTGCTATTTTTTTAAAAAAGAGTAAAATGATTATTAAACTCACGTGCACAAAATAACAACAGAACAAGGGAATAGTTCTTGGTACTGAAGACAGCATTTTAATACACGATCATCATTGTTCTCATCACTCAATCCATCTGTGAATTTAGCAAAAGCAACAATCAATAAGCACACTTAAAATCTGGGAACTGTATAAACAATTTAGGCCATGTTTACAAATTGAATCATCTAAAACAAAGAAAACTTTTTAAATAAGAAGAGGAAGATAAAACACAACAAAAACAATGACCTGAAAATTCTGGATCTAGAATTCACATATTTATGAGTTTAATTAACTGATAGTTTATTAAATTGATAGTTTACTAAAACAGAAGAGAATATGCCTATTAATAAACCCAAAAGAAAGAAATGTGATCAGTAGGTTAAAATGCCATACTAGAAACCAAAAGCTATGAATTCTAGTCTTAGTTCAGTCACTTAAGAGATTATAAGCAAATTATATGATTATATTTTGTTTCATATTAACTTAAAAGAGGTCAGCAAAATAATGAGCAATTGTTCTACCAGCAACAGAGCCACTTTCATGTGTCTGCTTTTTCTTAACCTCTAAGCAATAACCAACAAAGGTCCGTCTGGTCAAGGCTATGGTTTTTCCAGTGGTCACGTATGGATGTGAGAGTTGGACTGTAAAGAAAGCTGAGCGCCAAAAAATTGATGCTTTTGAACTGTGGTGCTGGAGAAGACTCTTGAAGTGTCCCTTGGACTGCAAGGAGATCCAACCAATCCATCCTAAAGGAGATCAGTCCTGGGTGTTCACTGGACGGACTGATGCTGAAGTTGAAACTCCAATACTTGGGCCACCTCATGCGAAGAGTTGACTCATTGGAAAAGACCCTGATGTTTGGGGGGATTGGGGGCAGGAGGAGAAGGGGATGACAGAGGATGAGATGGCTGGATGGCATCACCGATTCAACGGGCATGAGTTTGAGTAATCTCTGGGAGTTGGTGATGGACAGGGAGGCCTAGCGTGCTGTGATTCATGGTGTCACAAAGACTCAGACACGACTGAGCAATTGAACTGAACTGAACTGAAGCAATAACAATTAGAGATCAATGTACAGAAGACGACAACATGGGCAGAGAATACAAAAATTAATTTCTAACAAATGTTAGTATATAGCTGATATAGTGTCCTCTGGTATTCTCCAAGTCTTAAAGCATGTAATAAATTGTGTGTGTGTATGTGTGTGTGTGAAAAGAAAGTAATATGTAGAAAGAGGACCAAAGATAGCATTTTTAGAAGTCCTTACACTACCTGCCTCAGAATTCCCTGGGGTACTTATTAAAAATATAGAAAGGAAGATTAAACCCCAGATCCATTTATGGATAAGAATCTTTGAAGCCTGGATCCAAAGATTGATTTAAGCCCTTGGCAAGTCTCTTACACACTAAAAGTCAAGATATGCTGGCCAGTGAGCCTTAACTTTTTCCCCAGATTATAACCTTTTTCTCCCCTCAACTTTTAGCCTATATCACTGAGTCCTCTAAACTTTCAAATTAGAAAACTCATTCAAGCATGCAATAAACATTTTTCTAAGGTCTAAGCAGCACCAGGTTCCTATGCCTGTCAAAAGACAAGTTCTTTGGGGTCTCACAATCTCATGGCGAAGTCTAGACAAAACTCAACTGATCTCATAGCATGAACCTGAGAGACATATGATTCAGATCTTTAACCAGACAACCAGTAAGCCAGACAGACATATATTACAGCAGCCAATTTTCCTGCTTTTAGCTTACAAAGTAAATACCACAATAATGCAAAATGGGCAGCTCAAAATCAATGGTTAACTTTAGCAACTCAATTTGACCAACCAAAGGAGATTTAGAGCATACAGTAAGTACATTGCTCTAAAGGTATCAAGGTTCATGATTACTTGTTCTGTCACTTTTTTCTAGAATACACAGGCCCAGAAGGTATACCTAAACTTTTAAGAATATTCATGAAATATTTTTATCAACAAATATTTTTGAGCACTTGCTCAGGAACTGTTCAAAATTGAACAAAGACTCTGAAAACAGATGATGTGGGTTTGAATTCTTGCTTTCTCATTTACTAGACATGTAATAATGGGCAAATTGCATAAGAAGGAAGATTAAATGAGAAAATTTATATAAAACACTCGGCCCAATATATGGTGATAACAAGTGCTTAAGTAATATGTTGATTACTTAAGACTCAGCTTAACTGCATCTCAATAGCAATGACCTCTATTCACATTTGACACCAAAATAACTACTGTATAAATTATAATTAATATGACATTTAGCATATTAATAGAATAAAAGCTTCTCAACAGCAGGCTTTGTATGCTTCATTCACTACTGCAGCCTCAACAGTTAAAACAGCGTCTAGTACAAATATCTTGCAAGTAAATGATCCAACAAAAATGTAATAAAAGAAAATATAAAAATGATGGAACAAATGTCTGGTGTAGCAGGTGTCATTTTTACCTAATTATAAAAATAAAATAATTATAGAAAATCTGAAAAATTCCAAAAATATAAAGAAAACTAAAATATGTCATGTCATCAACTCAATATATCTAAGTATATATGCACAATCTAAGGAACTTGGGATTGTAATCTATATTCTTTGAAATCCTATTTTTGGTTTTTTGCAAGCTAAAAGGAGTTCATTAGTGTCAGCGATCAATGCAAAGAAATAGAGGAAAACAAGAGGGTGGGAAAGACTAGAGATCTCTTCAAGAAAATTAGAGATACCAAGGGAACATTTCATGCAAAGATGGGCACAAAAAAGGACAGAAATGGAAGGGACCTAACAGAAGCAGAAGATATTAAGAAGAGGTGGCAAGAATACACAGAAGAACNCCCGCCCTCACAGATGTCTCCTTCAAGATGGGACCCTTCTCATATAACTTGAATGCAGAGGCCATCATGTGAAACGTCGGGCTAGATGAAGCACAAGCTGGAATCAAGATTGCCAGGAGAAATATCAATAACCTCAGATATGCAGATGACCCCACCCTTATGGCAGAAAGTGAAGAGGAACTAAAGAGCATTTTGATGAAAGAAGAGGATGAAAAAGCTGGCCTAAAGCTCAGCATTCAGAAAACTAAGATCATGACATCCACTCCCATCACTTCATGGCAAATAGATGGGGAAGCAATGGAAACAGCGACAGACTTTATTTTCTTGGGCTCCAAAATCATTGCAGACAGTAACTGCAGCCATGAAATTAAAAGACGCTTACTCCTTGGAAGGAAAGTTATGACCAACCTAGACAGCATATTAAAAAGCAGAGACATTACGCCATCAACAAAGGTCCGTCTAGTCAAGGCTATGATTTTTCCAGTGGTCATGTATGGATGTGAGTTGGACTGTAAAGAAAGGTGAGTGTCGAAGAATTGATGCTTTTGAACTGTGGTGTTGGAGAAGACTCTTAAAGAGTCCCGTGGACTATAAGAAGATCCAACCAATCCATCCTAAAGGAGATCAGTCCTGGGTGTTCATTGGTAGGACTGATGTTGAAGCTGAAACTTCAATACTTTGGCCACGAAGAGCGACTCCTTTGAAAAGACCCTGATGCTGAGAAAGATTGAGGGCAGGAGGAGAAGGGGATGACAGAGGATGAGATGGGTGGATGGCATCACTGACTCAATGGTTTGGGTGGATTCCAGGAGTTGGTGATGGACAGGGAGGCCTGGCGTGCTGCAGTTCATGGAGTCGCAAAGAGTTGGACACGACTGAACGACTGAACTGAACTAACCCAAAAGGATTGATATTCTAAGTAAAAAGGGGAAATTTGGAACCAGATATGGGGAGGGAGAAGAGGATATGAAGCGACATAAGGAGAAGATGCCCATTTACAAGCCAAGAAGGAAGTCTGGAACAGATGTTTCTCTCATAGTTGTCAGAAGGAGATAACCCTGTTGACACCTTGATTTTAGACCTCCAGTCTTCAGAATTGTGAGACAAATTTCTGGGTGGTTTTTGGTATTACTTTTTAGATTCCATATATAAGTGACACATGATATTTGTCTTTCTTTCCCTGAATTAATCTAAGGAATTTAGGATTGTAGTTTATATTCTTTTAAATACTATTCTGTTTAATATCACATCATTAACATTTTTCAAAATTAGTAATTCTCTCACTTGGTTATAGCATTATATGTAACATCTCCAACTGTCAGACTGTTTCCAATTTTTTGCTGTATAAAGCATGCTATGATGAACATTAATTACATAAATCACTGTAACTCTGGTTATTTCTTTAGAATAATTGCAAGAAAGACAAATCATCTCTTTAGGCTTCATAATACACACTGATAAATTGCTCTCCTGAAAAGTTACTAATTCATATTCCCTATGCACTGAGTGCTGTGTTCCTATCAAGTGCTGGGAAGAAGTATCTTTCTAAACTTAGTAGCAATAAAAATAAAAAAGGAAAATGCAAAAAATATAAACTAAAAATTTTTACACATAAGAAGTATATTTAAAACAGCAAATGGAAAAATATTTACCTTGAACAAAAAAGGCTGACTAAATGTATTTCTTCTTTTGTGAATTACCTATTAATAATCTTTATCCATTTAGGGAAATTTAGTTTTTCTAATCCATCTGTATAACTTTCTCACATAAGAGGACACAAAAGAATTATCACCTATTTCAAACATTAAACCATTAAGCACTTTAATTAGCTCAGCCAATCTTCAGAACCATATTTTCAGTCGGAGGTCATTTCCCCCCATTTTATTTATTCAGTTTCCTCACCTTTAACTTTCTCCAGGTCAGCTCAAAAAGTTCAGGTCAATCAGATTTCAAATCCTATTCTCATCATAATGCATACTACATCAAAAAAGTACAATTTTGAGAAGAGAACAACACTAAAATTATGTTCAACTAAGTCTATTTATTAATAACATAGACTATTTTTATTCAATTTGTGGCATTTTTCTTTTTTTTAATGGAAAATGCCTGTCTAAAAAAAATACAGTTATAATACTCAATGATTACATTAAACAAAATAATACATCTACATAAGCAATTATTAGAGTTAGTGGCAAATGTGCTCAACAGATATAAAGCATAATTAAAGACTGTCTTGTTCTTGCTTTTCTCCAAACAAGTATTTTAATTTTATTCAAAAGTCCTGAATTAAATTTTTTATAATTTTCAATTTATCATTAGAATGTAAAATATAATTTTACTATAATAAAAATGACTAGGGATATTTCTAAAGGAGATCATAAAATCATTATCAACAGAATAAATATATTAAGTGCACTAGATTTTATATAAACAATGTTTCAAACAATCAGTTTGACAGATAACAATGATATATAAAGGATTTATCTGACAAAGACAATTACACAAATAATCTATAAAGACTAATCTATAACCTTGTAACTAAAAGCACAATTTAGCAAAATTAAGACCAAATAATATAAAATTGAAGCATTAAAGGGAAGTATGGCTTTCCAGCAAGGCCCAGAAACTGAAGCAGCACAGAAGTTTGAGACCACTACTATGATTTATCCTCCTTAATGATCCTAAAAGCACAGACTGAAGAAGTAAAAACATCAAAAAAAGCACATAAAAACTGAAAAGTCAAAAGACACATATCAAGTATCTATAAATAATAAATGTGGCCAAAATATCTATTAGTTCTTCTAAAATAAGTCTCAAAGTCAATCTGTTGAAGGAATTCCATCTCGGATGAGTTCTTAACATCTCTATGTCTCAATTTCCTCATCAGCAGAATAGGTCTTCCACAAGTAGTATAAGTTTTGAATGAGATGCAAGCTGTAAAGCACTTAGAAAAGGGTCTGGAGAATAACGGCCATACCAATGTTGTCTATTACTATCATCATCTGTACAATTATACACTAAAATATAATTTTTATCAACTAACAAGGAACAAATTATGAGTAAAAAAAATTCTCACCTCTTCTTAAGGACTGGAGGTTTACTGAAATGATGGCTTAGACAGAGGTTTTGTTAATTGTGTGGTTGTTTTTTTAAAAAGTCCTTTCTGTTAGCTTTTTTTTTTTTTTTCCATGTGAAACACTTTTAATGATTTTTGAACCTCTCAGACATTAAAAACCCTAGACACAAGGCTCATTTGAAAGAACATTTTCATATTGACTCAATACCAGAAATAAGCAGTTGCCAGAGGACCAGTGTTTCTAAAGTATGTAAGTCTTGTGTTCATTAAAAACATTCAAGACTTACATACTTTCTGTTAGCTTTATATACCAAAGTACTACAGGAGTTTCAGGAGTTGGGAGAGAAGGTGAAAAGGAAATGAGAGAATGAAAAAAATTCTCGCCAAAATGTTGAGAATCACTGAAAATGAGTGAAAAGCACACAGGGATTCATTCACTGTCTTATTCTATCTATTTCTGTATTTGAAGGTTTTCATAATAGAAAGTAAAAAAAAAAACAAAAAATTAAAACATTCAATTTAATATAATGTGTTAAAATATTTTAGTATTTTCTTAACTCTAATAAGTGATTTTTTTTTAAGTTGTTTCCTTTAAAAGCTCTTAAACTTCACATGATGTTCCTACTCAAAATGCATAAGCACTGTACTGGAATATACTAAGAGCTAATAATTATTTGTAAAGGGAATTAATGGTAGAGGCCCTTTTTCTTCAAAGATTTAAGACTAAACAGCTGTGCCAAAAGCCTTCTCAGGTTTAATATCATAATTAGACTCATCTTAGGATAAATTCTTTCATATCTTATGGTGAATATGGATACAGCAAACAACATAAATTCATGATATTTAAAATAATACAAATCTACATATACAAATAATTCTGAGTTGGGAATAAACAAATTTTTAAAGAATGAAATATATCCTCTACATATAAATATAAACTCTGCAGAGGCAACTGTGTTGCTTTACAAAGATTTTTTACCAAATAGTTATACAAAACATGAAGTACACACTTTGGTTCTAAGACTAATTTTTAAACGTCTAAAAAAAACCCCAGAAAAACTAATATGCTAAAAATCAGGAGAAAATCTATAGATCTCTATTATAAAAATACCTCCTCATTATGCTGCTAAGTCACTTCAGTTATGTCTGACTCTGTACAACCCCAGAGACGGCAGCCCATCGGGCTCCCCCGTCCCTTGGATTCTCTAGGCAAGAACACTGGAGTGGGTTGCCATTTCCTTCTCCAATGTATGAAAGTGAAAAGTGAAAGTGAGGTCGCTCAGTCTGTCCAACTCTTAGTGACCCTGTGGACCGCAGCCTACCAGGCTCCTCCGTCCATGGGATTTTCCAGGCAAGAGTACTGGAGTGGGGTGCCATTGCCTTCTCTGACCTCCTTATTATAGGTTGTGACAAACAAGAGCAAACAACACCTATCTCTGTATTATATTAACTGCATGTAGTGGTGATTAGCAGCTTCCCTGGTAGCTCAGCAGTTAAACGAATCCACCTGCAAGGCAGGAGCAGCTGCTGCTGCTAAGTCACTTCAGTCGTGTCTGACTCTGTGCGACCCCATGGACCGCAGCCCACCAGGCTCCTCCATCCATGGGATTTTCCAGGCAAGAGTACTGGAGTGGGGTGCCATTGCCTTCTCCAGCAAGGCAGGAGACACAGGTTCAATTCCTGGGTCGGGAAGATTCCCCTGAAGAAGGGCATGGCAACTCACTCCAGTATTCTTGCCTGGAGAATCCCAGGGCAGGCTACAGTTCACAGGCTCGCATGGAGTCAGACATGACTGAAGCAACTGAGCACGCAGATGATGATTAGTAACACAGATCACTTACGGGCCTCATCACTCAGCAAGGTATTTAAAAAAATCAATCCAAGTACAGTAATACAGACAACTAGGCATACAGAACTATACAGTTACTATCTGTGAAATCACAGACCTTCCTAATAAGGTCTAGGAGAAACAGAAAATAAATTATCAAAGACCTCCAAAACAAGCCTAATGGAACACTCCAAAGCATCACTGTGTCTTGCCATTTCATAATGCAATACTTATAGTATTAAGTTTTGCACCATTTCCCTGCAATAATGAGTCAGCATCTAAACAAATCTTAATCAGGAAACACCCTGAGAGGACAACACTTACAAAGTTTTTGAGATGCAAGTTGTATTGACTGACCCCATAGCTTCCTATCTTGATTTCTGAGACTGTCATTGATGAAATGAACTGCAGGTATAGCTTTGTGCTGGGCACGTTTCAGTAATTTTCCTGCCTTCATACGATCCAGCTCTTGTACAACCACCCAGGGAATTATTAACACCAGTCTGTCAAAGCCTAAAAAATAAAAAGATTTCTTATAAGTCAACAAACATGTATTAAGCTACTAAATCGAACTGCTGTAGGACAATTAAAAGTTTTAAAGACATTCATAATCTAAATGAAGAGATAATACATAAAAATAGGAACTAAAAACAGATACAAGTGTCAAGAGAACATTATAAAAATAAATATTAATACTACCAGAGATCAAAGAAGAGTAAGTTTAGAAGCTAGATTAACCAGTAAAGGCTCTTTTTCCCCCCTTTTTACTTAAGCTGATTGTGCTGTGTATGTTTGCGCTTAACAACATATCCAAATGAAAGTAAGTTTACAGGGAGTAAAAAACTCACATTACTATTGATATAAAGTATTAACTCAAATAAAATCAGAATCATTTTGTTTTATAAATACCTGGGATTTCTGTTGTCATCAAAAGTCTAACAAATTTGAGATGATTCATTAGAATATTTGTGTCAATAACAATTAGAAGCTTTTTGTCTGAAGCAGTATTTGCTAGGGAAAAAAAGCAAAGTGAGAATTGACATTTGTAACACACTTGTACAGTAACTAAAACTTTGTTATCACAGAACTCTGATAGCATTCTTACGGCAATCCTTTAAACAACAAAAATGCATTTACTCCAATTCTTAAGAGAAAGAACAGTAATCAGTGTTTAATTATCCACCAGTAGAATATTGCATATTACTTATGGGTAGATTTTTAAATCATAAACTAGCTTATGACAGCAGTAATTATGTTGTCAAACCCTGCACTCTTATCACTGGTAGTTATCCAGTTAGGAATGCTAAGCTAATTTTAATATATTGTGAAATAACACTGAAAAGATAACTATGTATAAAAGAAAGAAAACTAATAATACTAGTATTATTTCTTCTTAGGGTCATAACAGGAACAGGTGAGTTGATTCACAGAAAACAATAAATTGGAAAATGCAACATGAATATAATGTAGCAGCGTTACTATTTTTATAAATGCAATTCAAAACTGTATAGTAGCATACTCTGGAGGACATCTGTCATTTTCTTCTCTCAGGAGTAAGAATAATCACAGTTTTATTATATAAATAAGAAATTCAGGAATACCTTTGAGAAAATTGCACTGTTTCTCATCAGGGCTTTACAAACTTAAAACCAGTAAAAGTTATGATTAAGAGCAAGAATAACAGACTACTCATAATTCTGATTACTGCCTTTAGGTAAAAAAAAGAAGGAAAATATTTCTAACTGCCTAATAATGTGAGATATACAATGCAAATGATAACACAAATCATAGACCTGATTCCTACAGCTGAAAGAAATATACCATATTTTATTCATTCAAATGAGCACATTTTAACACTTTCAACCTAAATATTATAAAAACTAAACAGAGAAAACATAGGGGAGCGCAAACACAGTCATACACATACAGGGTATACCAGCAGAGGAGCGTGTATCATCTTCTACCATGTCAATTTCCATACTCATTAACTCTCCTGAAGGTGGAACCACAGGTAAATCCACACTTTTTCCCACACGAGCAGCATGAAGCTCTTCTACTATCTGCATCTAAATTGCAAAAGACCCACAAAAAAAATTTTGAATTATTTTCTCTGCAGATTAATAAGAAAGCAATTAATTCTTAATTCACTTAATATGAGATAGTCTTTGGAAAGTAAAAATTTTACAAAAATATGTAAGCTTATGGTAAAAAACCACAGATTTATAAACATATACAGGGTTTATAGGACAAGAATTTGAAATAGAACAGATATATGTATATCTATAACTGAATCAACTTTGCTGTACACCTGAAACTAACATAACATTGCAAATCAACCACAGTCAAAAAAAAATTTTTTAATCTCTTTAAAAAAAATAAAAAATAAATAAAATGGCTCTTCTCTTATTCTTTTTTTTTTTTCTCTTATTCTTATTACAACCTTAGGCAAATTATTTAAACACCATGGGTCTAGTTTATTTACACAATAGGAATGGTAAATATTTATATCCTTTTAGTACTTTTTGTAAGGATTAAGTGAAATAACATGAAAAACCTCACATGGGGTCTAATACATGAGACTTCCAAAATAAGTTAATTTTCATTTCCACTCTCACTTCAAAGTACTTTAGGAGCCAAATATCTGGATGATCAGCACTCTTCCTAAGATTTCTAAGATTGTTAATTAACTATCAAAAACTGAAATCCAGATCTTTATACTTTTTTCATTTCAGGGTAGTAGTTCCCTCATGTATTATAATGTAAAGAAATAAAAGTATAATCTAATTTTAGAGCTGAGGTGAGAAATCTTTCTTCTATCAAGGGGCATTGACCCAGAAGACATAAAAATATAACTGACTGTCACAAATAAAAAGCAATCAACATGGTTTTAAAGTCTCCTTTAAATAGAAAAATACAAAGTGTTCTGTGAATCTAATTTTAATTTAGAAGCAGGGAACATAAAATTACATGCACTACTTCTATTAGGTTTGACCAGGAGATTCTAGCTGAGAAATTAAGCAACAGGTAAAAAAATAAATATTATGTGTTTTCATTTTCACTGAACATTTTCCTCTTATTGCTAATTAGAAAAATGAGGCAAAAACATTAATATCATGCTGTATTTTGGTAAGCTGAGGCATAAGTATGCAAAAACATAACATTAAATTAAAATTAACATTGTGAGCATAGGTTCCATGCTTTTTATTCAAAACAAACTAGAGCTTATTAGAAAAAAAAGGCCAAAAGGTGATTGAGTAAATGGAAATACTTCCAAAGGATTTTTCAGGGCTTCATAAATACTTATATACTGAATTAAGTAGAGATATCACTGTTATTTTCGTACTATAAAAGTTTTTATAATCATTATTTTTTATTAAAATAGGAACCCCCATCTTAATTTCATTAAAAATATTCAAAGTAAACAAATATGTCAGTAACCTCTTGATCTGTATCTTGAATACTTTCAAGTGACACTGAAGAACATGGTGCTTCAAAAGTCTGAAATGAAAAGTAATTTTATTAATTAGTTAAGCATACACTTAGAATAAGATTTTTCAGCTGTGGCACTACTGACATTCGGGATCAGATGATTGTTTTGGGGGTTAATACTCTTCTCACTTCAGGTAAGTAGTTCCCTGATATATTATAATGTAAAGAAATTAAAGTAGAATCTAACTTTAGAGCAGAGGTGAGAAACCTTTCTTTTATCAAGGGGCACTGACTCAGAAGACACAAAAGTATAAATGACTGTCACAAATAAAAAGCAATCAACATGGCTTTAAAGTCTTCTTTAAATAGAAAAACACAAAGCATTTGGGGTTGTTCTATGCATTGTAGGATGTTTAGAAGCATCTCTTCCCTCTACCTACTAGATACCTACCCTCCTCCCATCCCTGACAATCAAAAATGTCTCCATCCCTTTGCCCAAGCAATTTCAGTGCTGTAACAGAGACAGAATTTGATGTAAATAGAGTTGAAGAGAAAATTATCTATACTTCAGTTTATATTCCAGTAAACTATGCTCTTTGGGGGTGCATGCTTCCATAAATGCAATAAAAAGAAAAACAATGAACAGGAAAAAAAAAAAAAGTCTCCATCAAATCATTTGCCAACCCACTAAGAGGCAATATTGCCCCCAAATGAAAAACTGTCCCAAGAATAGAAAAGCTTCATTCTATTAAGTCATGAAACATAGTAAAAATTCTTTAAGATTTACTCATTCATATATATGCCTCCCTAAAAATACTCATATTCTAAGAACAAAACTTGCCACCTTAAGAAACAGAAATAACCATGGCAAAGATAAAAAGAATACCGGGCCTTGGTGGTGGGAAATTTTCATCTATTAGTAAATGAACCATTTCTAAAAGTGACATGACAAAACAACAAAAGAAACTGGGAAGATTATTATATGGCTGAGGGAGAAGAAGACTGAAAATGTATGGGTGTTTTATTTTTTGTCTCCCAGCAAAGACTGAAGATCTCTCTAATTTCAGTTTTTCACTGGCACTTTCAGTGAGCGGCTGAGATTTACCTGATCCTACATACAGGTGACAAGGAACTTAACTAAGCCTCTACTAAACCAAATCATCTTCTAAGAATTCTCCAAGATAACACCAAACACTCATGTATTTTAGAAGAAGCTGGATATAAACTGCAGGCTCTCTTTAAAAGAGTGTATCCTATGTTGCTTTGTTGGGAATTGAGCTTCTACCCTAACTTTCCAGTATCAATCTTCACACAATACAATACCACACACATCACACACGTAGGCCCGTTACAGCTGTACTCTCCCATGACCCTGGGTTCTATAATGCCTTCTCCACCTGACTTTAAATCTCACTAGAACTTTAGATTCTCTTCAGCTAAGGAGTGCCAACCAAGCAAGAGATTATTATAGAACTTCCTGCAACTTCTGACATTCGAAGTCTTTTCATTCTTTTACTTAGGTCACTACTACCCTTCCCTCTCTTTGACTATAAGTCACTTCCAGTGATTTCAAAAAACTTTCTATCAACTTCAAATCCTTATTATAAAAGAAAGTCTTAGAGGGCATTCAACTTTGCCTCCCCCCTTCCATGTTTTATTAAGTCCATGGATTGGGATAAAGCCTTCCCTGGAGATGATAAAAGAGAGTAACAACAATGGCTTTATTTGCTGGAGTGATTCCAAACTAAAAACCTGACTATTCAGTGGCCCTGTCCTATCTACAAGATAAAAAAAAGTCTTTCCCAGGAGAGATAAAGGAATCCATTGCCTAGACCCTGGATTTCTCTCCAACTTCTCTCATATAGATTCTCAACACATCTCAAGTCAAACTGAACAACATAAATGCTCATGTATGCCTGTGCCATGCAATCTCACAACTCTGGGCCACTACACAACTGATCATTTCCCCTGGCAGGATAACACTTCTATTCTTTGCTCTACACATTTTTCAACACCAAGCTTAAGAATCTCCAAGCTTAAGAGAATCTCTTAAGAATCTCTTAATGAGCCCTTCCTTAACTCACTTCCAAATTTATACTAACACCAGCCAAATTCCCAGGGCTCTAATATTTTCTTCACTGTATCTGCAATTGTATTTGTTTACTAATCTACCTCTCTGGGAACTTTTTGAGGGTAAAAGTGTCTTATTCAAACTCTAAATGCCTAAAAAATAATAGGTACCTTTAATTAACATTTAGATAAACTGATGAATTTCTACCCCAGAGAATGATAAGAATTAAGTTGGATACCATTTATAAAAGTGGCCTATAAACAGTAAATCTCTAGAATATTAGTTAACAATGGTGAGGGGAGAATGCAAACTGAAAAGGGTCTATAACAAAGAACTGTAAGCCTAGGGGAAAAAAGAAGTCACTTTCTCCTAGGAAAGCATAACAGGATCACTGAATACAAAAAAATACAATTACTTCTTTGTAAACTCACTATTTTAGGAAGACAATTATCCATTGAGGAATTTATGAGGAAAACAAATATAATATTAAGATGATTAGCAACAGATCACCAGCCCAGGTTGGATGCATGAGACAAGTGCTCAGGGCTGGTGCACTGGGAAGACCCAGAGGGATGGGATGGGGAGGGAGGCGGGAGGGGGGATCGGGATGGGGAACACATGTAAATCCACGGCTGATTCATGTCAATGCATGGCAAAAACCACTACAATACTGTAAAGTAATTAGCCTCCAACTAATAAAAATAAATGAAAAAAAAAAAGATGATTAGCTACTGTCACTAATAATGGTAACAATAACATATTCAAGATAAGAACAATATTTACTTGCTGCTCCTGCATCTAAATGACTTTCAGTCAGACAAGATTGCTATCAAAGGAATATAAAGAGTTTTAATTCCAATAACTGAAAAGTAATCATGCAAAAACTGCTTCCCCTACAACTTAATATCCATGCTATGTACCTTGTTTGGTTTTTGTAATAATTCTAAACAGAGAGCAAAAAAGTAGGTAAGATACATCTCATACTGTTCCTTAGAGATACAGCACCAGGGGAATACCAAACCATGATACAAAGATGTTCAATGAACAAACTGGAAAACTCAGATTCCTTTCTTGCATTCTACTCTAGAGAACTGGTTATACAGCACAAGAAGAAAACTGAAGCTTTCCTTTAAGAAAGCAATAAAAAGAACAAACTCAATTCTTTCCTTCTTTGGACCCTTTCAAGTTCAGTGAAAAAGAGTACTCTTAAAAAAAAAAAAAAAAAAAGAGTACTCTTTCTCAAGCTCTTCTGGCCCCTCTAGTTACAATCCCTCCATTTTTCAAAGGAAGTATCTTATACAACACTCTCTAGTCTTGATTCCTAAAAAGAGGTAAGTTCCACCACTGCTATTTATAAGCAGTCTCTAAATTTCAGAGCTTCTAAAGTTCCAAAGTTCTAAAAGTTCTCCTAAAGATAAACAATTTTATTTGCCATAGAAACAAGGCTATTGCAATTAGGTTTTCAAATTAGTCCACAAATGCTGATTTACTACATAATTTAGAAGCAAAAATAGATGTGCCAAGCTTTCTAGCCTAGATCTCTGTATACATAGTTCCCTCTGGAACATTCCCGCTTCTCCCATCTCACTCCACCTTGTCTTCACCTGGATAACTCCTATTCAACCTTTAGTTCTCAGTTTACATGTTATCCCCTCCGGTAAATCTTACTGAATTAATCCATCCAAGGCCATGTTAATCCCACGCTATGTGTTCCCATATAAGGTGATTAAGTATTTGTCAGACTTGAGGTGGCTGTTTCTGTACCTCCTCATATAAGAAAGTCTTTGAAAACGATGACTGTGATTGCGGTACCTGACATACAGGGCACTCAAAAGAATAATTTGTTAGAGGAACAGCTATTTGGAATATCAGCCACGGAATTGTCGTACCTGGAGTTAGAGAAAACTGTCATAGTACTTTTCTGATAGGACTATCTATAACTGCTGCTTCTGTATTTTTACACAATCCCTTCTATTTTGGGTCCCTGATAGTTGCCAGGATAGTTTCTTATGGAAGTTGGAATTTACAGAGTAAAATAAAAGAACCAACATATCTTCCTGCTAAACAGAATTTGCCTTTTACGATCATTATAACAGAAACAACTCGAACCTAACTATATTTAAACTCTTTACTAAGGTCTGTATTCATTTTGCACTATCTTACCTGGGTTAGGTTTTCACCAGAACTTAAATCATTAATTTCTTGATGCTCATGATATTCTCCTTCCCACTCATGGACAGTCTGCTTATTTGTGGAATCAGAAAATAAATATTCACTTCTGTGCCTTGTAAACTTTAATGAAAACTGGGAGCCTTCTGGGCATTCTTTTTTCTTCTGTTTAGTCTTTAACTTGTTAGAACCTAAAGTGAACACATTTTCTTGTACGAGATTCTGGAGGGTACTGCGGTATTTTACTGGGATTTTGAAGTTAATCCTTCTCCTTCTAGATTCAAGGGGTTCCTTAACTATCTTGTGGAAATTACAATCCTGAGAAAGTTGGATTCTCTTGCATTTCTCTGAAGCACATTTTTCAGAACTGTCTCTAAATTTATTGTACCTTCCTTTCTTGAATTCCTTCATCTTCTCCCTCTGAGCAAGTAAATGAGGCCCTTTTTCTTCACTTGTCTGGCCCTCAGCTTTTGGTTTCTCATCTTTGGCCACCTTAGGACAGCTACAGTTTTCAATTCCATGGTCCAGCTTACTCTTAACATTTGCCAATTTAATATCTTTAACTTGAAAATCTACACATTTACTTATATCTTTTTTAGTTCCATTTGAAGAAGGACTCTGTGAAATAATCTGATTATTATTTGAATATGATGTTTCCTGGAGTGTAACAAGTCCTTGGGATGAAGAACCAGTTTTTGGTCTCTTTCTTGGAGGGTCAGTTTCTACATTCAGTCTGTAAAGCAGCACAGAAAATTAGGCACATTACAATTAAACATAACACATAATATTGCACTGTATCATTTTAGTCAGGAAATGAAAAAACTGGCCTGATATGAACTTCATTAAAAGTAAGAAATAACTACAGTATTAATAAAGTGGAAAGGATTACTCAATAAATGGTGTTGGAATAACTGATTTGTTATTTGGGAAAAAAAATTTACAGATTTATATAACATCAGGTGATGTAATCCCAAACAGATTAAACATTCAAGTGCAAAATAATTATTATTTCTGCTATACTTCATATTAAATACTTAAAAACCATAGAAGAAAAAGGGAATATTTATCAGATTTCTTAATAAAGAACTTCCTAAACTTAATAGCAATGGGAAAAATATCACAAAGGAAAACAGTAAATGTAAATGACTACAGTAGTATATTAAAAAATAATAAAATTAAAATAACTGGGAAATGGCATATGCTAAAAATGTGACAGCTTATTAGCCTTAGTAAATAAAAATCTCATCAAAAAGTACTAAGGCTCTAGAATAAGACATGAACAGAAAACCAATGAATTTAGAAAAAGGGAACAGTTAATAGACATTTTTGGGAGAAATGTTTGACTTCCCTAGTAGTCACAGATGTGCTAATTGCAATGTACCATTTTCTTCTATCAAATTAGTCAAGATTGTTAAATAACACTAAATACTGGCAATAGGTTGTTAAATGGAGCCTCTCATATGTTGCCAGTGGAAATGCAAAATGATTTAACAGTTCCACAAAGGAATTTGATGATACAATTAAGAATTCTAAAAATGTTCTTATCTTTTACTTCTTAGCAATTCCCACTTGAGAAATCTAAGGAGAAAAAAGCTAAAAATAGACTAAAAATAATAAGATATTCAGTTCAGGATTATCTATAAGAGCAAAAAGTCAGGTACAAGGTAAATGCTAAAATTTTGGAAATGAATAAGAAACATGTCATTCTACCGAATACAATAAACTATCATAGTCATTTCAAAGGATGTTTATGCAAAATTTTCAAAGACATACAAAATATACTGGTATACTATTAAGCAGAAAACAAGCATAGCATAAATCTGTATACATAAGATCATCTCAACAGTTTAAATAAGTATAGTAAACAAGTCAGAAAAAAAGTACTAGAATGCTAGCAGCAACAATTAGCTAGAGGTGATAACATTTTCCCGCACAACAAAACTAGATATTACTCTGTAGTCAGAAAGAAAGGGGAAAAAATTTGATGAGCCACAATCTATTAATTTATATCAGGAAACTCCTGAATGCCTTTTAAGTGCCTGTCATTCTGCCGGACACTGGGAAGCAGTGGAGGACACATCAAATACAGTCCTTACCCCTCATTAATTTACCATCCAGCAGGGGAAAGAGACCGGAAATAAGTGACTTCTCAAAGAATTAATTACGGCAAGAGCAAACTATAAACATCTCAGAGTTTCCATGGGAGTTTCACCTGAGTCTTCACCTGGTTTTATTTTCTTTGCTCTATCTACAAAAAGATTGCCTATCATTATTCACCTGTTAATAAATAGCAATAAGACAAAACTTTAATAGGGCCCTGTTTGGCACTTATTAGCATATCATATAAGCTATTAACTGTAGTAAAGAAAAATCAGGAAAACAACAAACGAAAGAAAATTTTAATAGGACCCTCCAGTTTTCTGAGCATTTTAAAATTCCTATTTGTTCTTCACAACAGTCCTGTGTGGCCTATTTCATAACAATCTATGCACCATGGTCCATATGGTCATTAACTAATGGAAACTCAGCATTATAATACCTTTAATTATTCCTACTATTTTCCCAAGCCACAATCTGTTAAATTAACATGGTTTTAGAGCCATATCAATTCAATAAGCTACATATTCTCTTCATGGGTAATATGCAAAATAATTTATCCAAAATTATTAAATCAGTCTCATAACCTCTATTATTACTATATGTAATGAAGTTATGTATCTTGTAAGGGTGTGTCAAAATCAAATTATTTGAGATGCAAATTAACATTTTAGTTGAAAGTACTATTTACAAAGTATAGAACTCTGATAAGATTTTCTATTTCACTCAACTTTTTCTTAAATTTATACAAATATTAAGAAAATCATATCTGTGATTTAGCTATAAATACGTGCCTCCAAAACAGTATTAAACAAAATAAAGGATTCTGCAAATCTAAATATTCAGTCTCACAACTCAAAGCTAAAAAATTTACCAAGAAAAAGGGAAAATTTACCTTTTCAGTTCTTGTCTTCTTTTCATATTACAGCACAGAATATCTGCAGGATCTGATTTCTGAAAGAAAAAAGGCATTAGGAAATATAAATTATGAACTGAGAAAAGAGGTTGGGAGACAGCATTTTCCCACACCTATATGTTAGTGAATACCTTAGAGACAGCCTGGGACCTGGGACCCTTTACTCTAACTGCTGCAACGCTTGCACCTGGACACACCTCTCCTCCAGCAACGAAATAAAGAAACTATATATGAGACTAAAAATAACTGTGTGCATGCTCAGTTGGGGCAAATTATGGACAACAGATACAAAAAGACCAAAAAACTGCTACTCATGAAGAGCCAGGAGCAAAAAGCAGGGTACTGAGCATGCCTCCTGCAGTCACCACCACCAGAGGGTGGGCAAAACACCTCACCCTTCCAGCCCTAAGCCTGTGCACACTCCTAACTTCACCCCATATAACAAGCTAGAGCCAAGATGGCAGAGAGGGAAGGAGCCACAAACAGTGCACTTACCAGCTTCTGGTGGGGACCATGACACCCAGGCAGACAGGAGGAACCCCCAAGCAATGGGGTGGAACACAGTGCGGAGCGAGGGGGAAGGAGAGGCTGGACAGGACTGGTGCCCTCTAGGAGAAGCTGGGGGAGAGGAGGGGTTCCCAGGCCCTGAAAGGCACACTTACCTCAAGGGGATCAGCGGGGACGGGGAGAGACCTTCAGAGGTCAGAAGATCAGGGGAATGCACCTGGAACCTACTCAACCCTGGGGAGCTTGCTGAGGCCAGGGGCCTGATCCTCTGTACTCTGGGGCCAGAGGCATTCCAGAGCCCCTCCAGGCCAGGCTAAGCTTAGGCAACCTGCACCCCACCCCCATCCAGGGCCTTTATCTGCAGCATGGGCCCTGAGCATAGGGCCCACCCCCACCTAAGCCCTGCCTGCCAACAGCCAAGACTTTTTCCAGCTTTTGTTCTCTTTTTTTTTCCTATTGCAGTTCTGTTTTACCTTCCAGTGGTTGTTTCACTTCTATTTTTATTTTTTCTAATATATGTTTTAGTTTTTAAAATTTCACTTTTTGCTGTTGTTCTTACTCTGTGTGGCTTGTAGGTTCTTGGTTCATGGGCCAGAGGACAGGCCTGAGCTCCTATGGTAGGAGGGCTGAGTCTGAACCACCAAACTAACAGAGAACCTCAGACTCCAGGGAATATTAATTTGAGTAAAGTCTCTTGGAAGTTCATATCTCAACACCAAGACACGTAGCTCTACCTAACTGCCTGCAAACTCCAGTGCTGGAAGTGAAGTGAAAGTCGCTCAGTCATATCCAACTCTTTGCGACTCCATGGACTGTAGCCCGCCAGGCTCCATGGGATTCTCCAGACAAGAATACCAGAGTGGGTAGCCATTCACTTCTTCAGGGATCTTCCCAACCCAGGGATCAAACCTGGGTCTCTTCCATTGTAGGCAGATTCTTTACCACTGAACCACCAGGGAAGCCCAAATCTCAGGTCAAACAACTTGGAAGACAGAAGCACAGTCCCACCCACCAAAAATATGTGACCCAAGTTACAAACAAAGAAGCACAATAAAAACCTACAAGACCAAACAAATGAAGAGGAAATAGACAACTTACCTGAAAAAAAAACTTATGATAGTAAAAATGATCCAAAAACTCAGAAACAGAATGGAGGCACTGGTCGAGAAAATATAGGAAATGTTTAACAAAGACTTAGATGAACTAAAGAACAAGCAAACAGAGATGAACACAATAGCTGAAATGAAAAATACACTAGAAGGAATCAATAGCAGAATAACTAAGGCAGAAGAATGAAAAAGTGAAATGGAAGACAGAATGTGGAAATAACAGCCAAGGAACAGGATTAAAAAAAAAAAAAGAATGAAAAAAATTAAAGACAGACCCAGAGAACTCTGCAACAACACTAAATACACTAACATTCGAAATACTGAGTCCTAGAAGAAGAAGGGAAAACAAATGGTCTGAGAAAATATTCAAAGAGATTATAGTCAGAACCTCTCCTAACATGGGAAAAGAGATAGCTACCCAAGTCTGGGAAGTATAAAGAGACCCATGCAGGATAAACCCTACGAGAAACACACCAAGACACATATTAACCACAAAATCAAACACAAAGAAAAAAATATTAAAAACAGCATGGAAAAAAATACTAAAAACAGAAAAAAAGTGACATACAAGGGAATTCTCATAAGGCTCTCAGTTGATTTTTCAGCAGAAACTCTCCAGGCCAGGTCGAAGTGGCAGGATACTGTTACAGTGATGAAAGAAAACAATCTACAACCAAGATTACAGCCAGCAAGGATCTCATTCAGATTCAATGGAGAAATTAAAAGCTTCATAGACAAGCAAAAGCTAAGAGAATTCAGCACCACCACTAAAGCCAGCCTTACTTACTCAAGGATTTTAGCCTTCTGATTAAGTTAGTGTCCTTGGTTCAATGGTAAAGAATCTGCCTGCCAGTGCAAGAGATGCAGGTTCAATACCTGGGTCAGGAAGATCCCCTGGAGAAGGAAATGGCAACCTACTCCAGTATTCTTGCCTGGGAAATACCACGGAGAGTGGAGCCTGGCAGGCTACAATCCATGGGATCACAAGAGTCGGACTTGACTTAGGGACTAAACAAAGCCAACCTACAGAAGATGCTAAAGGCAATTCCCTACGCAGGAAACAAAAGAAAAGACGACCCACAAAAGCAAACCCAAAATAACTGCTACCCACTCCAGCATTCTTGCCTGGAGAATTCCCATGGACAGAGGAGCCTGGTGGGCTACAGTCTATGAGGTTGCAAAACGTCAGACAGGACTGAGCAACTAAGCATAGCACAGCACCATTTACAACAGCCAGGACACAGAAGCAACCCAGACGTCTATCAACAGAGGAACAGGTAAAGAAGACATGGTACATATACACAATGGAATATTACTCAGCCATAGAAAGGAATTAGATTGAGTCATATGCAGTGATACGGATGAACCTAGAATCTGTCAAACATGGTAAAGTAAATCAGAAAGAGAAAAATATTGTACACCAATGCATATATAAGGAATCTAGAAAAATGGTATTGATGACCCTATCTGCAGGGCAGGAATAGAGATGCAGACGCAGAGCACGGACTTAAGGACACAGTGGGGAAGGACAGGGTGGGGCACACTGAGAGAGTAACACTGATGTATATACACACTACCATATGTAATGGCAGAAAGTGAAGAAGAACTAAAGAGCCTCTTGATGAAAGTGAAAGAGGAGAGTGAAAAAGTTGGCTTAAAGCTCAACATTCAGAAAACTAAGATCACGGCATTTGGTCCTATCACTTCATGGCAAATAGATGGGGAAACAGTGGAAACAGTGGCTGACTTTATTTTTGGGGGCTCCAAAATCACTGCAGATGGTGACTGCAGCCATGAAGTAAAAAGACACTCCTTGGAAGAAAAGTTATGACCAACCTAGACAGCATATTAAAAAGCAGAGACATTACTTTGCCAACAAAGGTCCGTCTAGTCAAGGCTATGCTTTTTCCAGTGGTCATGTATGGATGTGAGAGGTGGACTGTGAAGAAGGCTGAGCACCGAAGAATTGACGCTTTTGAACTGTGGTGTTAGAGAAGACTCTTGAGAGTCCCTTGGACTGCAAGGAGATCCAACCAGTCCATCCTAAAGGAAATCAGTCCTGAACGTTCATTGGAAGGACTGACATTGAAGCTAAAACTCCAATACTTTGGCCACCTGATGCGAAGAGCTGACTCACTTGAAAATACTGGGAAAGATTGAAGGCAGGAGGAGAAGGGGACGAGAGAGGATGAAATGGTTGGATGGCATCACCAACTCAATAGACATGAGTCTAAATAAACTCCGGATGTTAGTGACGGACAGGGAGGCCTGGCGTGCTGTGACTCATGGGGTCGCAAAGAGTCGGACACGACTGAGTGACTGAACTGAATTGAACTGAACCATATATAAAACAGATATCTAGTGGGAGGCTGCTATATAGTATGGGGAACTCAACTCCATGCATGCTCTGTGATGACCTAGAGGGGTGGGATGGGGGGTGGGGTGGGAGGGCGGCTAAAGAGGGAGGGGATATATGTATACGTATACCTGATTCATGTTGTTATACAGCAGAAACTAATACAACATTGTAAAGCAATTTTACTTCAATTTTTAAAAAATATATTTAAAAAAGAAACAAGGCAGCTCCCACCTCAGTGAGTGAGAAAGCAAAGGAAACTGTTCCTTGATCTCACTCTCCCCATTGCAGCAGGCACCCCAATGAAATCTTACCTGAACTTCTTATCTGGCATTTGATCACTTTTTATTGACTATGGGCAGGCCAAGAACTCTGGTCGGTATCAGGTTGACACAGTAATTTTCTTAATCCTTGCAATAATCTCATGAGACAGATAATATTAGTATCTCATTTTACAGACAAAGCACCCAAGGCTCAAATAGAGCAAAATATCCTCAACATTACAGAGCAAGTTAATCACAGAGCCATGATCTGAAACCAGATTTCTCTTTCTATTCTACCACCCTCTCTCTCTAGGGGCAGAGGGCTAGACACAATAAAAATAACAGAGAAAGAGGATATAGTCCCTGTCCTAAAGAACTCAGAGTAAAGCAAAAGGATAAAGTAGAAAGAAGTAGAAGGATATATAGAATAAACAATAAAATAAAGCAGAACAATAAACAGTAAGTTGTAAAAGAGTTTAAAGGATCAAAACCCAAAAGTTGGAATGTACCAAGGAAAAAAAATAGGCCAAAAATATGCTAAAGATTGAGCATACATTGAATAAAGATGAATGGGTAAAAGAAAAAGGCATTCTTCATTAAAAATGCTTAGGCAGTCTAAGAAGCTGGAGATGACTTGTGTAAATTCAGCTGAGAGAAAATAAACCAGCCTACCTAGAAGGGCTGTTTTGAGGAAGAAGAAAAATGAAAACTGGATACTTAAGGTATGACCAAATTTAAAAGGGTCTTGACTCTTTGTGACCCCATGGACTATACAGTCCATGGAATTCTCCAAGCCAGAATACTGGAGTGGGTAGGTGTTCCTTTTTCCAGGGGATCTTCCCAAACCAAGGATCAAACTCAGGTCTCCCACATTGCAGGCAGATTCTTACCAGCTGAGTCACCAGGGAAACCCAAATGATAAACTAAAAAAGTAAGTGAAGATTTTTCAACAAAGGAGAAATATGGTGAAATCAGTGTTTTAAGAAGGTTAATACAGCAAGAATTGCAACAGCAGTTCCATTATGTGAAAACAAACTCTTAAAAACCAAAATCTGCTTTCATGGAACTTTCACTATTTTCTCTTGTTACCTACAACAACTGTGCAGCAATCTTCATATACTCCTAACTCTTCACTTGAACATGGTGAGCACCTCGCAACCATCCATGTACCAGGTTGATGTGTTTAGTCTGCTGTCACTGTTTCATATTATTTGGCAGACAGTGGAAAAAAACCTGGACTTCACTTTGTTGCTGCAAACAATTTTATGTCCTTTCACAAGTCACTTAACTTTCTGGATCTCAATTTCTGAATCTGAAAATGCAAACACTATCTCTGCCCTGGTGACTTCAAAATGAAATTGTAAAGACAAATTTAACCATATACAGGAAAAGACTTAAAAATTGTCTAAATTTATATTCATGTTGTCTAATCCCACGATAGGATCTAATCCCACGCACAAAGAAAGAATTTGATAAACGCTTTTTGGTGAGTAGCAGGAAAAAGTTGGTTTTCCATCTATCAGCTATCAAAAAGTAAGTATAATATCAAGAAAAAATTAATGGAAAAGTAGTAGGGGAATTTATCTCATGAAGCTTTTAATTGTACATTAAAACTTTAATATTATTTTTAGAGTTAGTTACAGTATCTAAATACTCACCAGTTTTCTCTTCTCCGACGACACTGATCTTATAGAGCAGGTTGAACTAGTAGAACTTACTGATGGTTTTTTCTCTCTCTCATCCTAAGAATGTCATTTGGAAAAAAGGAAAGAAAAGCACAAACTAAAGTCCAGTGTAAGAGAGCATTCTTTTATCAATGTTTTTATAAATCAAGATTGCTTCTGCATGAATAAGAAGCTTCAGAGGAGAACACTGTTTATTTATTTAGCTGCACTGGGTCTTTATCGCTGCGCATAGGCCTTCTCCAGTTGCGGAGAGCAGGGACTCTTCTCCAGTCGCGGTAGGAGAGCCTTCTCATGCCGTGGCTTCTCCTGCTGCAGAGAACAGGCTCTAGGTGTGAGGGCTGCAGTGGCTGCAACACCCAGGCCCAGCAGTTGTGGTGCACAGGCAGCAGTTACGGCTCTCAGGCTCTGGAGCAAGTGGGATCAGTAGCTGCAGCTTACAGGCTTAGTTGCTCTTTGGCATGTTGAATCTTCCCGAACCAGGGATTGGAACCGCGTCCCCTCCATTGGCAGTTGGGTTCTTATCCACTGTACCACCGGGGAAGTCCGGAACAATGTTTAAAGGCATACAAACATTGGTAAGAGGAAAGGAGACTTAACTAGAAATCAGAAGATCTAAGTGCTCTAGGAATGAGATGGGATAGAAGTGGGCTTCTCTGGTAGCTCACACGTTAAAGAATCTGCTTGCAATGCAGGAGACCTGGGTTCAATCCCTGAGTCAGGAAGATCCCTTGAAGAAGGGAATGGCTACCAACTCCAGTATTCTTGCCTGGAGAATTACACAGACAGAGGAGGCTGGCGGGCTACAGTCCATGGAGCTGCAAGAGTCGGATGTGACTAAGTGACTAACGCTTTCACTTTTTCACTTTCACCTGGGATAGAGGCAATATAGCAGAAAGTTACAGACAGCTCACATAAGGACATTGGGAAGTGGTACTGCCATAGTGATACTTAAAGCAAAACCATATACCCACTTATTTTTTCAGTGGATCCTGAATTCAACAGACCCAAGACAAATGTACTTCAAGTACCTACCGTGTATCAAAGACATTTTTCTAGACAGTGAGAACAGGTTAGTGAAAAAACAATGAAAGTCCCTGCTGTCACAGAGGTTACACCTAGGGCAGGTTTAACTTACAAGTAAGTAAGTGATATAGTGTGTCAGATGATGCTATTAAAAAATAATAACAGAGCAGAGAAAGGGGTCAGGAAGGGCTGGGAGGCAAGGGTGAGGCTGTTGCAATTTTAAACAAAGTAGTCAAAATGGGTCCCCACTGGTAATTGGACATCTGAGCAGAGACCTAATGAAACGAAGGAACAAACCCTGTGAGTATCTAGGGAAAGTTTTCAAGTTAAAGGGAGTAACAGCAAGCACAAAGCAGGAATGTGCCTGGCTTACTGAAGCAACAATAAGGAAGCCAAGGAGTGGAGAAAGCAAAGGGAGAATGAGATGGAGATGAGATGGTGACAGTAATGTGTTTCCTGTCCCAGCAAGGACATTAGCTTTTTCTCTAAAGTGGAAAATCACTAGAAAATATTGAGCAGAAGAGTGACATGATTTAACATTTTAATAGGAATACTCTGCCTGTTATGTTGAGAACACAAGAAGGCAAAGGTAGAAAGCAAGCTGTTTGCCTGGATCATGGTGATAGCAGTGGGAGTGGTAGTCATACTCAGCTGACAGAATTTGCTGATAGATGGGATGCAGGCGGAGCATGATGACCAGGGTTTTGGTCCAAGCAACTTAAAGAATGTAACTGCAACTGACCACATTAAGAAAACTGAGGCTGGGCACTTACAAGAATATAGTTTAAGAGGAGAAAGAGCCAAAAAGGATACTGCTAAGCCTCAGTTTCTTCATTTGTATAATTGGGATAATTAGAGTACCTACCTCATAGAGTTGAGAGGAATAAATAAAATAACTTAAGTAAAGAAAAACAAATGTAAGTAAAGTTCCTTCTGACTCTTTCTCCGTCAGAAGAACAAAATATTTACATAACTTGTTTTAAAACTGAGGTGTATTTTTTTCATCATACAAAAATAAAACTGTAAAACAGGGTATCTTTAGGTCAATAAGTCAAAATTCTTACTTCATCAATATTGGATGATGGGGTGGTGCCTTTTCTCCGAGACTTCTCCTTTTTTCCACAAGATTCTTTGTTGGACATTTTGCAAAGCTAAAATAAACATCAAAAACACATTATGTGTGTGGGTTTTTTTTTTTAAACCATTGCTATAACAAAAATATTAGAAATCATACTTTCTTCAGTTTCTTAAAGATTGGAGTTTTATAAAATAATTTTTGTATTTTACCCATTCTCAACATGATAGGATTGTCTCATCGTTCCACTTTACTTACATTCTGCCTCATGATCTGTTCCCTTCCATCAGTGTGGGGATGGTCACCTTTTAAGAAAGACTCTCAAAAGTATACCTTTAAGGCAAACTTCCCTTTTCAACGTATTCCCATTTTCAATTGCCTGCAGGACTATTATATTTTGCCCCACCCACACCTCAAAACCAATTAGTGATTAAGTCTTCCTTTTCTCAACACACCCTCCATCTCTCACTGAGTGAGACGTTGGGCAACACACACACATTTTCTGAGTCCTAGCTCCACTATATGTAAAATAGAGATAACTTATCCGAGAGGGTTTTTTAAAAATTCAAATGAAACTATGGATGTAAAAGTACCTTGTACAAGATAGTACACAGTAGAGTCTAAAAAAATACTGGCTTCAGCAACTGTCTTTCTGCTAGACACTGAGCTTCTTGAAGAGTACACGGTATTGAAAATTTAGGAGGTGTTCATAAATGCCTTCTGAGTAAATGAGTAGGTGAATTTTTCTTTCCCAGAATAGTGATTGTTCATTCTGAGTCACTTCCAACTCTTGCTCATTGCAGCCCCTCTATCCATTTCTGATCCCAGTCTCCCTTTTCTAGTCCGGGTCTGGATCAAGTCTGTACTGCTGTTACTGACAAAAAGAAAAAGAAAGAAAGAAAACTACACACAGTCATCCCCAAAGGTTATAAGCACTTCAAAGATAGTATATATAATCAGCCTGTACTGGAACACAGAGGTCAGAGATTGGGAACATCACCAGATTTGCTGAGGCAAGAAGATATAAAGGGGTCTGTCCACAAGCAAAGTCCAAAGGAGAGTTTATTGCTGCTAGTGATATGTATAGCACTTCCATGTGACACAGAGACGGTAAAGAATGAGCCTGCAATGCAGGAGACCAGAGTTCGATCCCTGGGTCAGGAGGATCCCCTGGAGAGGGAATGGCAACTCACTCTAGTATTTCTGCCTGATAATCCCATGGAAAGAGGAGTCTGGCAGGCTATAGTCCATGTGGTCGCAGAGTCAGACACGACTGAACAATTAACACACACACACACACAGAGTGATAAGTATTGATGCTAAGAACACAACAGACTAGAAACCAAGCAATTACAAGTACTCCTGGTCAAATATGATCACAGTAAGTGAAGTTCTATAAAAGAATGATCAATTACACTAAATCAAACTTGTAGAATGTTTTGAAGAATACGGAAGAAGGAAAATACTGAGACTAGAAATCTAATAAATAAAAATTAATAGTCAACATATACTTCTAAGGACAGATTCTAAATTACCCAGAAATTTTGCTTTTTAAGATAATTCATGGCAACAATTAAATTCACAGTTAAGCTTCCAGATTACAGGAATAATCTTCACTTTTCTTTCTTGTTCCAAGGATCCCATTCCATGGGGAGAAAGGTATAAGGAAAAACAATAACTTTCATGAAATAAATTGCTTAGAGGCAATGGGCTGGTTATTTTACCTTTTACAATTTAAACCCTTTCATGTTGTGCTTTGAACACACACATACACACACAAAACCAATTTGAATCTATTATCCCTAAGACAATCAGAAAAAAAAAATACTGCAGAAAATAGACTATCAAAAGAAAAACACCTATATATGTACTGTGACAAATGTTTTACATTAGTGTACCATTCATATCAATTTTATGGAAATCAAAACATAAACTAAATGAGTGGAGATTTACTGTGCTGGCCTGCTTCCCAATTGGCTCCTGATCTCTGCTGCCACCATCTCTTATGAAGTTCCCTCTCACAATAAGTAGAGATGACCTGTGTAACCAACAGGATATATTTATATAATATGTGGCTAGGTCAAATAACACACTGCGGCTTCCGCCTTTCTCTGTCTTGAATTGTTCACCCTAGAAAAAGCCAGCCACCATATCACGAAGACATTCAAGTAACCCTAGGAAAAGCCCACCAAGGAAGAGCTGAAACCTTTTGCCAAAAATGAATGGACTTACAGGCATGTGAGTGGGCCACCCTTGAAGCTGATCCTGCAGCCTTAATCAAGCATCCACTAGGCAGCATCTCTTGCAAATATCTCACTGCAATGTTATGAGACACCCAAAGGCAGATACACCCAGAAAGCCATTTCTGAATTCCTGACCCATATCCACTGGGGTAAGAAGTGTATTGGTTGTCTTAAGCCATAAAGTTTTGAACAACTTATGCAGCAATAGATAAGTAATATACTCAATATAATTTTTCAAATTTTGAAGATGCCTTCTTTAGGATGGCTCAAGAGCAGGGACTGTGCTTGGGAATTCTGATTAAAATTTCCACAGAATACACAGACTAAAAATCTAACCCTTTTCATCTTCTGGTTTTCAGCTGGTATTAATGAAATTGACATCCTAAATCAAGCTTTCAATTAACCAACCATTCATTCACAAATTAAAACATCACTGGTTCCTAGATGATGCATAAATATCCACTACTCATGCCTGCAAACTATAATGTTATTATCCCATTTTTAATTAACTGTTAATTAAAGGCAGTATATACATCCAGGAATACTAGTTAGAAGTTGTGGATGGGGCCACTAAGAGGGCTTTAGAATCACAATTCACAAAAACTTCCACGGGATAAATTGTTTAACTGGGGAGGAGAGGAGGGGAAAACCCCTCCACATATACTTTCTAAGTACTGGGAGGGAGGACCACATTCCTGTTTTGAGTTTCGAAGTGCCAAAAAATTCACACTCGCTCTCCTCTGGGTACTGAAAACAAACAGAAAATAAACAGACCAAGAAGAAAACCATTAAGTATCGCCTTTATTAACTAGGAAAACCGAACGGAAAAGTGCGAATACCTGAGACTAAAAGATTCTCTCTCCCTTCTTGCTTCCTGTAACATTCGGACCAGTGTAGGCAGAGCAGTCAGAAAACAAGGTTTTATTCCTTTTGCCTCCCGCAGTGGGCTTGAAGGAGCGCGCCTTAAACTCAAGCAGGCTCGGAGAGGAACGAGAAGTACGGAGGCCTGCAAACTTAACAGACGCCTTGAGGAACCTGAATCACATCAGTCAAGTGCCCTGAAGCTCCACATATTCAGGAGCTTTGCATATTAAAAGCCTAAATGTAAGCATAGTCTTCTCCCGACTCCTGGGCCCCCGCAATTCACTATCCACAGGAATCTTACAGCCACAGGGCGGCGCTGCTATGGGGAATACGTAGGTTAAAACTAAATTAAAAGGAAAAGAGTGTTCAGATCATGGTGTTGGTGAAGGCGCGAAACGAAGAGCAGACCCCCAACTCGAAGTCCACCTGACTGACAGGCGGCCCAGAAACCGCGGACTCAGGTAGAAACACACCGCACCCAACCCGGGACGAGAGGCAGCCCGGAAGGCAGAGCCGGGCCAGGACCACACCCTTCACAGAGCAGGCTCAACCCCGGGTCCGCCCACAGAGTCGCCCCGCCCAGGCTCGAGAGGCCCCCGAATCCTCCGTCCGTCCCGCCGGCTGCCCTCTTTCGGTCCCGGAGTGAGGCAGGGAGAGTACCCACCGAAACGTCAACTAACCCCTCAGCTTCCCTACGTTACTTACCAGAGCCCGCGCCGGTTGCGATTTGGGACGCCCAAACCACGGGTAAGGGACTCCGAGCGCGATGCCCGCTGGGAAATGTAGTCCTGCGCTCCGATGGTAGCTAGCGCTCGAAAGCTCTGGAGCGTTTGTTTAGCTTTGCCTTTACTTCCTCCGAGGCCTCGGGACCACCCCCCGCCCCGCTCCGCCCTGTGCGGCGCGGTGCACGCTGGGTATTGTAGTTTTGGTTGGGTTCGGTGGTTGACGGCTAGAACGGAGACGCGCCGTGGAAACGGAACTCTCTGACCTCATTGGACGCCGTCCTCCAGCATGCTCCTGCGCAGTCGAGGCTGGCGTCGTAACGCCTCGGGGAAAAGGAAGCGTACGGGGCCGCGAGTCGCTGCCTGTGGCTTTTAATTTTTCTGCTGACTGGATTTGGTCACTGATTCTTCATCTTTTGTCTGTTGCACGCATCTCGCCCTCCCCATTTGCTTCCCCACTTCTCGGATCCGGCCCTGTGGGCTTTCACGCCAGTTCTCTCACTCCGCCGTGAGCCCCTGCTGGTCCCCGGGCGGGCCTGGCAAGGAGGCGGTAACTATGGAGAATATGGCGGAGGAGGAGCTGCTGCCCCAGGAGAAGGTGGAGGTGGCCCAGGTCCCGGTCCCGACCCCGACCCCGGACTCGGCTCGGGTCCCAGCTCCGGCCCCGGATTCGGCTCCGGTCTCGGCCTCGACCCCGGCCCCTGCCTCGGCTCCGGCTCCGACTCCGGCCTCGGCTCCAGTCCCAGCCCCTGCCCTGGCCCAGGCTCCGGCCCTGTCCCCGTCCCTAGCCTCTGCCCCTGATGAGGCTGAAAGCAGTAAGTGCAGGGAGGCCCAGATCTTTCTGCCGCAGGAGAAGCAAGAAAATGCGCCTTGCTGGGGAGTAGGGGAGGCCCTTCTTCACTGGGATGGTTTTTAAGGGGGAGAAGGCAGTTTTAGCGAGATGGGGGGAGGAACGAGGGACCCGTATAGCGGTAAAAACGGGTACAGGGCGGGGGACGGCATCTCCACAAACCTCGGGGGTCTCACAGGGTAGGATCTGTGGAGGCCAGTGGTGCTGCAGGTGGAAGGAAATAATGGGATCGTGAACGTCTTCGTTAAAGGGGGTCTTTTTCTGTTACAGAAATTAGAAGTTACACCTCATTTGGTAGTTTCCCTCTTAGCCCCGTCTGCCATATTTCCCTGTGACCTTTAAAATAAGATAGAGTAACCGAGTTTACTGTAGTAGATGCTAACTGCCAAGATTTAGAAACCGTTGCTGTCAATTAGGTTTTATGTCTCGAAATAGACACGAGATGGGGTTTTTCTCATTTTTTCTTTAGCAGCTTGCCTCCAAAAAGAATTTGAGGCTGACAAGTAGTTTTAAGATAGTGACTAGATTATAGATATTTTCCCTCAGACGTAAATACCCATCGAGTTTTGTACGTTTTTCCAAGTCGGCTGTCGAAAATTAATAGCCTGTGTTAACTGTGCTTGCATGTTTTATAAGTGATGGTTTATTGGACCATAAAGGAATTTAAAAGATTGATAAGTAACACTTCATTAAGAATCGTCTGAACATTTTTAAACGTAAGCTGAGAAACTTTTCTTTAGAAATTTTGTCCCCAAATTGACCTTTATGTTTTTTCTGAATCATAACAACCACAACAAAACTTAATTTGTTGTCTTTCCTACTTCTAAGCCAGTTTTGAGGTTAATGTTTAAAAAACATTTGGATAGTTATAATCTAATAGAATTACTTATGTAATTTTTAAACAACATACAGATTGCTATAGTAAAGAGTAGGGTGGGTCACAGAAAAAAACAAAGGTCAGAATGCCTCTTGTAGGCCTCTTCTCATCACAGGAGATCAAAGCTAGTAAAGTGGTAAATAAGGTCAGTTGTTTCTTCTGCAGCTGCAATGGGGGAAGAGCAGGTACACTCCAGAGTAAAGTATCCTCCTTAACTCACCACTAGATGTGGTCTTTTTATGTTAATCGGATGTGATTGAGCAGCTTTAGGGGATGTATGCTTTCTCCACCTCCCTACCATCATGAATACGTTAAACACAGTTTGGGAAGATTTATTCGTATATTCCAAAATTTATGAGTATTTAATTTGAAGAATGTGTGATGTTTGAAAAACCTGAAAATGCATTTCTGGAACAAATAGTGATTAAGAAATTGGAAATGCATTAGAAACGTATTAATCACATTTTAAAAATTATTTTTAGATGGTCTAGTTAGCCCTTTGAAATCAGTCTCATATAGGCAAGATGAAGATGGCATATCTGAAGTAGAATTGAAAATTGAGGAAGAAAAAGAAGTTTTAAAAGAACCACCTAGCATCTTGGAATCATCTGATTTAATAAGAGGTTTGCCTATTGACTTCTAGATTACTAGTGTGTTACAAAAATATCGAGTGATTTTAAATACAGATTGATATCTACTGTCTTGAACCAGAAAGTGACTTTAGAGATGTACATAGGCATTTTCATGAATCTCTTGGACAGATCTTTAGAGTTTTCTTCAGTAGTGGACTACAGGATTTTCAGTTTTCTAACTTACCGGGCCCCTTTTACTTACTCTGTAGTATTAGTAGTTAGAATGATTGCAATAAACACATCGTTAGTAGTACTGTGTATTTTGTTTCACACACACAGCTCTTTGAAGTATGGAAGCCAATGATTTCAAATTAAATAGGTTGGTTTGTACATACAGACTCATTGCCTGAATCTTACTGTCTGACCCAGTAATGAAAGATTTTTGATCAAATGGGAAAACAGTTTATCTGTTTATAGAAACTGTCTCATTGTAAGTCATTTGAACAATACCTGATATAAGAAATTAACCAATAACATTTGTTGCTGTTTGTGTTTCTCACTTTGGAATTAGGTAAAAATATATTTTAATAAATTTTAACAGGAATGTCTGATAAGGGCTGAATTGAATTCCAAAATTTTGAGTCAGTGTGCTACTGCACCCAAAGAGACTAGTGATTTTTTTTTAAATTTAATTTAAAACTAGTGCCTGCTGTGTGCACGTTACTGCACTGGGCATTTAACCATTACAGAGATGAGTAAAGATGTAGCCCTTGACTTCTTACTGCCTATTTGTAGATGAGACAAACAAGAAGGTAAATTGTATGGAAGGGAAACAGAGCAACTGGGAGTGAAGCTTGGAGAAGAATAGGCAGGAAGACAGCAGCGTGGAGAAATTATATAATCTAATTATATAATATTAAAGAGTCCTGTGGTTTATCCCATTGACTCCTAACTCATTGAAGATCTTTTCCTATCAGTTACCATCTCTTGAGTCTTATATATTCAGAATTCTACTTTGTTAACATTTCTTTCCATAGGGCTACAATATTCAGGTCTCTCTATCCTTAAAAAGAAAGAAGCAAGTTAAAATCCCATCTCTCTTTTTTTATTTTAATACTAGCAGACTTCTTGAAAAAAGTAATCTATGCTGATTTTCTGTACTCCATTTCTCTTTCTAGTTCTATTTGTACTCTAAAAACACCTCATTGAACCTTCTTAAAGGTCACTAGAAACTTCCTAAATACTAAATCCAGTAGTCTTTTCTTGATCTCTACAACTATTTGTGATACTTACTGTTAAGCACTACTCTTTTACAGTCCCTTCTCTCCTGGCTTCTGCATTATCTTGATTCTCCATACCATTTTTTCTTTTTGAAGCTACCCTCTTGATTCCTTTTCCTCAACGTCTCCTATACATCTATTCATCCCTCCATACCTCACTTCAAAATTGTATCCATTTTTGTTAATCGGTAGTGGGTTAAGCAGTGTTGGGGAATGCATCCCACATACTACTAGTCAAGCATATGTTAAATATATTTTGGAATGATTTATTCATTTATTCCAAAATTTACAAATACGTAATTTGAAGAATAGTGTAATATTTGAATAACCTGAAAATGTGTTATTGGGACTGAGTTTTGGCTTTTTTATCCTCGGTTTCAAAACATTTCCCCCTAGGCTTTCTTACTGATGCTCTTAGTTTCACCTAACATGCGTATTTATGAGTTACATCTATTCAGAATCCCTCCTGACCTTCCACTACAATTCAACTGCCTACTGGACTTGAGTACCTAATTCCAGTAGTAATCAAACACACTGTGTAAAAAATTAAATTCCCATTCTCTTTCCTCTTCCTTTCTGCCAAAACTGTTTCCTGCTTCCTTTTTATTGGTTAATAGTGCTTGTATCAAAATTTCAATTTTTCTTTAATCTCCACCCTTTCACATCCCAAGTCCTCTGCTGCTTTTTTTTTTTACCTTCTATTTTCTAGTACCTTTCCATTACTAATTTCTCACCTCAATTATTGATCGTTGGTACTACAACTAGAGATTCTGAAATGCATTCAAATCATATCATTTATTTACTCAAAAACCTGAAAAGACTTAACATTACCTAAAGAATATAGTCCAAACTAACTTATATACAATTTATGCCTCCCATGATCTGTACTACATTTTTGGCTTCATTATCTTTCCACCAGCTCTATCCCCCAAACATACTTCTTTCCAGCCAGGAGTGGTAGAGAAGTGGCTGTATATTTTACACCACATGCCTGTTTATTTCAGTTATAAGGTTATTTCAGTTTATAAGGCCAGACACCAAATCTCTACTTACTGAAAATCTGTTTATATCTTAAGTCTTGATCAAACGCCACTTCAGTGAAGCCTTCTTAGAGGCACTTGTTGGAATGAGTTATTCCTTCCTCTGTATACCCACATCATATTTACCTTTACCCCTAAGCGTTCATTCATCTTGCCTTGTGTTACCGTTAGTAGTTAACGTGTTTATCTCTCACCCGATTGAAAGTTCTTTGAAAACAGGAAACCTGGCTTCAGTGTTTTATACAGACTAGAAACATTTTCTGTAAAACTATATTGAATAACAAGATAAAATTTGGAAGCTGTGAGGTTATACAGTGGCAACTCTTTGACTTCTGAGACACACTTGTCATTTTGTAAACTGAGTTTTCTGCCTAGGTACTAAGGCACTGTGCTATAGGAAATGAAAGTGTAAAATTCTGTGTGATGTGATAAAATGAAACTGAAGATGGAATACGTATTGTTAAAGCATAATTTTCTAACTCTTAAACTTGCCTTTCAGAGAGACACATCTCAATTCAAAGGCAGCTTGCTGATTTAGAGAAGTTAGCTTTCGTAACTGAAGGGGATTGTGACTCTGCCAATTCACTGAACTCAGATAATCTTGATGCAGGTATTTCCGTCTTTGGAGGGTTTCTGTTTTTTTTGTTTTTTTGGTCAGTTTCTAATGATATGTCACCTTTCTACTCATGAAAATTTTGGTAAGCATGAACTTGTTTATTTCCACCAAATTAGGGCAGAAGTAAGATAATGTTTTTTAACTTAGGAAATGGTACCCTTCTATATGTAAGGGCGCTGTGAGATGAGTTATTTCACAACCCCTCAGGGAAATTACAGTCTCATGGATATATAAGGGCTGTGTTAGGAATTAACATTTTACTATGAGTAACAAATCCAAAAAAATCGTATGGAGGCTTTTATTCTCTCATAAGAAAGAAATCTCAAGACTGGCAAAGTAGAACTGGTACAGTTTCACAGTGTTGTTAGTGCCCTGAGCTCCTGTCATTCTACTTTACCATCCTTAGTGCTTGGATTCCATCCTCAAGATCTCCTCATGGTTTTTTGGGTTTTTTTTTCTTTTTGGCTTTTTTTTTCTTTTTTTTCCCATTTATTTTTATTAGTTGGAGGCTAATTACTTTATCCTCATGGTTTTTTGAAGTAGAGACTATATTTTAAAAATTGTGCTTATACTTGCAGTGTGCTATATGTGAAAGATATTTGCTGGATTAAAAATTCAGTTATTGGGACTTCCCTGGTGGTCCAGTGGCTAGGACTGGGTGTTTCTAATGCAGGGGGGCATGGGTTGGATTCCTGGTCAGGGAACTAAGATCCCACATGCCACACAGAATGATCAAAACAAAAACACCCTGGTACAGTCAAAATTTTTTTTTAAAACTTGAGTTACTGTTTCTGTATATTTCATTGATTTAAACCTGGATTTGAGATTTTTTTTTAGTACTATTAAAGCTTTTATTAGATACATTACATTTCTAATTAAATGAAACTTCTATTTTGATGATCCATAATCTTTTTAAGAATATGTTAATAAAGAAGGAAGAATTAACAAATTCAGTAATAGGATGTGTGCTGTGTGCTTAGTCAGTCATGTACGACTTTTTGTGATCCCATGGACTGGAGCCTGCCAGGCTCCTCTGTCCATGGGATTCTCTAGGCAAGAATACTGAAATGGGTTGCCAGGCCCTCCTCCAGGGAATCTTCCCGACCCAGGGATCAAACCCACATCTCCCACCTTGCAGGTGATTCTTCACCGCCTAAGCCACCAGGGAAGCCCAAAGCCACTGTAATAGGCTACAGAGGTTGTAATGCCGACTCCAGTCTCAGAATAGCAGCAGTATCGCATCCAATCTACCCCTTCCTCCTCTTAATTTTTCTAATTCCACATGGTAACCGTCTTTGTTGCTGCTCGAGTAGAATACCAGAGCTGATACTTTTGTCTGTCTAGCTCCTGTCCCTCTGCAAGTGTGACAACTGCCTTTTCCCTGCCCAGAGTGACATTCTTCCTGGAAGGCATTTTGCCGGGGGGGATGTCATGTAGTTTATCATTTCCTCATCCTCTCCATACCCAGTAGCAACAGAGGTATCAGCTCTACACAGGTAGGAGAGTTTGGGGGTAAAAATCAGTCACTGACCATGTCCTGAAACAATTACTGTTAAGTACCTGCTAAGGAAAGAATGACTTCACTATAAATGCTAAGAAAGATGTTATCTAAGGGGGGTGTGTGTGTATGCATGTATGTATGTGTTTTGAGAGGCAAGGGTGAGAAAGGGTCCCCTGTTAACTTCTTTTGTAGCCAAATTCAAGCATGAATAGCTGGTATATTCTCTGCTTTATTGGTTCTTTTTTCATTAACAGGAAACAAACAGGCTTGTCCACTGTGCCCCAAGGAGAAATTCAGAGCTTGTAATAGTCATAAGCTTCATCGTCACCTTCAGAATTTACACTGGAAAGTCTCCGTGGAATTTGAAGGTTTGTATTTTTGTGTTTACTAAAAAGTGATGTAAATGAAATTCAGGATTTGGTACTAGTTTTGGAATTTTACTGACAACATAATCAAGTATCTTCAGTTTAACATTATGAAGGATTTAATGCCCCTCTTTTAATGTATTTATTAATAAAAGACCACATAGTTCTCTAGGCAATAGATATTTATGACACCTGTAGTTTAGTTTGAAAAACAATTATTAAGCATCTGTTCTGTGCTGGGTACTTGGCTTGGTCCTGAAGGTCCACATTACTTACTGAACCATGTTTTCATAAGTTTTACTTTTCCTTTTTTTATTAGAGCAACTACAGTTTTTATTAACTACAATTAACTCCAGTAATAGTTTTGAAGGTATAATAAATGTAATAAAACAAGAAAATAATTGGTATGAATATTGGAAAAGAGAAGATAACATCTCTTTTTTTCCCTGCTGCTGACTTAAACAGAGTTATGAGAGTTTTTGGAATAATGGTGAGATAAAAGATAAATATTCAAAATCAAAATCAGAGCCTTTCTCTACTCTGGATAAATGGAAATGAGGGAAAAAACAGTTATAACAGTGACAGAAATGGCACAATTTGAGGGAGTAGTTTAACAAGAGGATTCAAATGAAGAAATGAATGAAGTTGAAGGACAAAAAAACATGATTTTACAAAGTTAAAAGACTGCCTAGGGAGAGTGATTTATTGTTAGATTCTGAGGTAGTGAATTATGGATTATACGTGTTTAGTTACTCAGTCATGTCCAACTCTTTGCGACCCCATGGACTGTAGCCCACCAGGCTCCTCGGTCCATGGGATTTCCCAGGCAAGAATACTGGAGTGGGTTGCCATTTCCTTCTCCAGTGGATGATATATTAAAGCCTTTTTTTAGAAAGAAATTTGGCAACATTTAAAAAATTTAAAATATTTTTCCACCAGGCACTCCCTCTGCTAAGAGTAAAGGAAGCAATAGACAAAGATGTACAAGAATGTTCATTGCAGCATGTGCTTAGAAACAAAATCTTGGAAATAAAATCAAAGATGACTGAATAAATTATGGTACATACAGACCATGAAATATTATGCGGCCATTGAGAAGAGTGTTTTAGATCTATACCGGCTTGCTTGGAAGGATTTTCATGGTAAACTATGAAAATAGCAATATATATGATAAAAATGAAAATACTCTCCTCCCCCAAAAAAACCCTAAGCATGTATATACTTAAATTTATATATGATTATGCAAGTATACTTACTGTGAAATGTGGTTATCTGGAGTTTCAACCAGACTGAATGAAAGTCATTATAAGATACCCCAAAAAGCAGCCAGAACTAGACCAGAACTATTTTCTTAGTGTTATAGTATTGATAAAAGGTTATCACTAATTACTTAGAGAAAAAGTGAATTAGAGACTAATTCAGAAGCCATACTATCTTATGTTTAATTATTTATAAGAATGTATAGTAAACCATATTGACTTCTTAACAAAAGATCTCATTTTAATTACAAAGGTAATTAAGTAATTGCTTTATTTAAGCCATTGTTTAATTTTTGGTCTCTCCTCCAAGTTATTCTCTTCTGTCTGATGGTTCGTGGTATTTCTTTACTGTCATATTCTTTAGGTTGTTGCATTCTTTCATGTGATGGTGATCTGGTAGATGGGGAATATGATCGTTTTTGTCTTTGTGAACAGGCTTCAAAGTAGTTGGCAAATATTTTGAATAAGATCTGCTGAAGGGGATGTGAGGGCGATCTGGTTGTGACATCTGTCACCCCATTGATCGCCAGGGTTGATTCGGCTGATCTGGCTGGCTAGGCGGGTGTCCCCTTCCTCCCTCACCGCTCCATGTGCGTCCCTCCCAAAGCTGCGCGCTCGGTCGAAGAGGACGACCATCCCCGATAGAGGAGGACCGGTCTTCGGTCAAGGGTATACGAGTAGCTGTGCTCCCCTGCTAGAACCTCCAAACAAGATCTGCTGAAGGAATGGAAATGAGATGAAGGACAAAATAAGAATGCTTTACCTAGCTGGAGAAGACTGCATTAGATGTGGGAAAGAAGAACAAGTCTTCAGATTTAGCCATACAGATGTTGAGATGCATCTAGTGGAGGTAGCCTGGAGGGCACGTAAACCTGGAAAGGTTTGGGCTAGAGTTACATATTTGGGAGTTGTCAGGATATAGATGGTATTTAAAGCTGAAAGTCTGGATGGAATGACCGTAAAAGTACATATAGGTAGAAGAGGAAATGGTCCAAGGTCTGAGTCCTGAGACACTTTTAACATATACAGCTAAGAAAAATGATTGGATGTAAAGTGAACTGAACTACAAGTATGAGAAGAAGAAAGAGATAGGTTTTCAGTTTTTGAGTTAGGAGTAACTGGAAGGCTTTATTATTCATTAAAAAAGTGAAAAAAAGAAAGCTGGTCCAAGTGTCAAGTGAAAAGTTTAGTCCTTGACAATAGGTCTTGTTTTGTTTTTTAATATTTTTTGGTTATACTGGGTCTTCATTGCTGTGCGCAGGGCTACTCTTTGTTGCAGAGTGTGGGCTTCTTGTTGCCATTCCATGGCTTCTCTTGTTGTGGAGCCCAGGGTCTAGAAGCATGGGCTTCAGGAGTTGGGGCACCTGGGCTCTAGAGCTCAGGCTAAGAAATTGTGGTGCACAGACTTATTTGCTCCGCATCATGTGAAATCTTACTGGACCAGGGATTGAACCCGTTTCCCTTGCATTGGCAGGCAGATTCTTATCCTTTGCATCAGCATGGAAGTCCTTGACAATAGGTTTTGAAGTAACCAGTCACATGTCTTGAGTAGGCAATTGGAAGTAGAGATCTGGCCCTCAGGAATGAGTTGATAATAGAGTTGATAATTTGGGATTCCTTCTCATAGGGGAGATAGTTGCAATCATGAAAGGCATTCAAGTTAATCAGGAAGTGAGAAAAATTTATATAGCAGATCCATCATACAGAAAATCTACATTTTAGAGTATGAGAGAGGGAAGAGGATCTGTAAAGATTAAGTAGGAAGTGCGCGAAGAGAACTCAGTGCCGTATCATTGATGAAGAAGAGGCTGTGTAATAGTAAACGCAGCATAAGGCAAGAAGGTGAACCTGAGAAAAAGTCAAGATGGCAAAAAGGAGATGATAAAACTGAGTCCCAAAGAAGCTACATAACTAATCCAAGATAACAAAGGTTTTTGGAAGAACCAGATTCTGAACCTAGATCTCTTGTGTGTTTTTATACCGTGTCATATATAACAAGTGTATAAAACCAAGGCAGTCTCATTCAGATAAATTATGACATTACAAATATAAGAATAATCCCCATTATTCTTATAAAATTTGGTAGTAATTTTAATAATAATTGAGTTTTTGATGAGCAGTGATAAGACAAGCAGCAATTCTTCATTCTAGGTTACCGGATGTGCATCTGTCACTTACCTTGTCGACCAGTGAAACCAAACATTATTGGAGAACAGGTAATCACATGTTAGATTTGTTATTTTTAGATTTAGCTATCTCTGAAGGAAGTACGATTTTTACTTGCTTTAAGACTAAAATGTGTATATTCAGCAATGAGATTTACTTTAAGATTTTGTTTTCAAGGGCTTTCAGATTACCATAGTAGGAAAAATAAAAATGTATGAAAATTGTTGCTGTATTGAACTTTTCATTTTATAGTTTTTAATTTCAGTCAGATCACCTGCTATCATATGTTCAAAAGGAAAATTAACCCACATATTTAAGTAGAAAGCACTTCTTTTCTTTCAAAATAAATTTTGGTCATGGAATAAGAGCTTTTAATTTCTGTGGTTTAGTAAGTGTCTTAATATGTGTTGATTCATACTCATCCTCCCTATGGTCTTCCTCTTAATTTGTCAAAGGACAGAATGAAGACACTTCTGAAATCTCAATAACTTTAAAAAGTACATGTGTTTGTATTAGGATACATTTAACCTTTGGGGAATTCAAATTATAAAACGTTTTATGGTGACACTATCCTGAACGCATATTAGCTTAATAAATCATTATTAGTAAATTTTCCTTTCAGGCCACACAAAAAAAGTAAAGTATTGGGGGAGAAAAACATTTCTTAAGTATACTTTGTCAGGATAATTCTTGGTCCATTAACTCTATCTAAGCTATTTTGAGTATGATAACCACAATGCCATAAATTGTGGAATGTTCTTGACTATTCTGTCCTTGCCCTGTGATTGCGAGTTAAGAGTAAGAAGGCATCAGAAGCAGGAAAGAGCTATTGGAAGTCTTCCTGTTCTTAACTAAATAAGGAACTAAAAAGTGAGAACGTTTTTATTATGTCTCTAACACTTAGGAGTGTGCTAGCACTAGCTCAGATTTCCAGAAATCTGGAGAGCCGGTTGTTAAATGTGGCCATCATCAAAAATTAAAATATGTGAACTTACAAGTAAATAAATTATATTAAAAACAAAAGTAATGAATACTCACGACTTACTGCTTCCCAGTTATTTTACTACCTCTGTGCTCTTGCGTCATTTATATATGTATATACTGTATCTGCATAGCGGCAGTGTTCTCTGCTGTGATACTGCACGTCTCTTCCCTAATTCATATTCAGTGATGTCACATGGGTAGCTTGAAATGTCACAGTTGGAGCTTGGCATTGGCCATGGTAGAGTGTTTAGATCACAGACCTGCAGACACTACAAATGAGGGCCTTATTTTGCTGGAGAGACAGTTAAACGTCTGCCAACACACTGCTGCTAGTATCATACCACTTACAAGTGTTGCTAATAGAAGGTAAGAATACAGTTATTGTTGATTAGAATGAATGGGAAAAAACTAAAAAATTAAACTTGTGACCTATTGTAAAGTAACACTAAAAAGCAGATGTAAATATAGGTAAGGAAATAAAGATCCTTTCAGAGTCACATGGCAAAATGAATCCTATCTTCTAACATACTTAAATTCACAACCTTAAATAGACTTTTATTTCATTGTCTTAGTAACTTTTTTATGTATTTAAATTAAATACTCTGTTTGATAGATATCCAGTAAAATGGGCGCCCATTATCATTGTATCATTTGTTCAGCAACAATCACCAGAAGGACAGATATGCTAGGACATGTCAGGCGCCATGTGAACAAAGGAGAGACTAAATCCAGGTATATTGCTGGTAAGTTGAGCAATCTCATTAACATATTAATAAGTAAATCCTTAAACAGTGGTCTAATTGTTATTTTTAGACATCAGAGAGAGAGAATACTGTGACTTAACCAAATCATTTAGTTAACTGCTAATCCATCCAGTGTTGTTTTCTTTCTGTGAGACTCCCAAGAGTATAAACAGTATAAACTGTTCTCAATTTAACAGATGTATTTGATACATGAGTAGAAAAAAGCAGCTAATGCCCAGTAAATGTAGATATCTTAATGAAAGATAATAGGATTTTATTACTGATGGCTTCTGTACCAGTAACTGTGTTATGCTTGTTGTTGAAAAACACTGGAAAAAGGAGGTAGACTGATACATAAAGACTATTTATAGTCCTGAGTGATATCAAGTTATTAGTAGCTTATAAATACTGAGGCAGTTCCCTCTCAAGAATTAAGCCCTTCTGCCCTAAGGGCAGATGTAATGAATACATCTAGAATGGTACTCTGGACCATTCTTTTAAGTATTGAGAAAAGTAGTGAAATAATTATTTGAAGGGCTTAATTTTCTCACAGAACTTGGTTTGAGAAAGGCTAATCTTGTGAGATATGTGACTTGACACTTGGGTGACTATAGAAAGATATGTAATATAACAGTAGGAAAGATTACTTTTATGTGGCATTGTAGAAAGAGAAATATGGTTCTCATTTAGTTAACATTCTGATTATAATTCGATCAAGAAATCCAAACATAAATAATCTCAATTATTCCCCTCCACATATTATTGTATCTCTTTTCTTAAATAATTAAAATATATTCATACAAATATATCAATATTTCATTTGAGTTTATAAAATTCTATTGTATATTGAAAGTAGAATAATTGGTTTTGTGTATTAGTTTATAGCTGTTGGAATATTATTTGTGATTTAAAATCACAAAAATATTCTGAAGTCAAGCATGTTCAGGAAATAGAGTGACTCTTAGTCATCCATGCTAGCTAATGAAACGTAACCACACAGGTTAATTTTCTAACATTTAAACCATAATAAAATATGTGTTTAGTAACCAGCCTTTATAAACACAATGTAGTGTTTGATGAATAAAGGTTATTTTAGGATTTGGTGCAATCTTAGGGTAATTGTCCTTAATTAGGTATATAGATACATTGATGTGCTAGACAGTTAAGATTTTAAGCTGATAAACTGTAATTCACCAAATACTTAACGGAATAATTCACCAAAATTCACTGCTCTTTTCCATAGACAGTGCTATTAGATCAATTTTGGGTGATTTTTTTGACATCTACTCAACTGATTTCATTATCATGAAACTATTATAAAGGAAGGTTATTTTTAATGTTCTTGATACTTATAATTATTTTCTATTTCACTGGAAATCTTTTTTTTTTTTTTTAATTTTAGCTTCTGCTGCTAAACCACCTAAAGAAATTTTGAAAGAGGCAGACACAGATGTACAAGTTTGTCCTAACTATTCTGTACCTCAGAAAACAGATTCTTATTTTAATCCCAAAATGAAACTGAATCGGTAAGATAAATTTAATAAAGGGTTATGGAATGCTTCACATGCTTCATTTCATTACAAATGTACCTTCTCTTAATCTTTTTGTTCTAGTATATTGAAATTTAAAAGTAGGTATAGAATGAAAATCATTTATTTTAGCATTTTCTCAGAATGATTGTTTTATTTTTCTGCCAAACTAATTTTTTTCTTGAAGTAAAGTAGGTCTAACTTTATATAAAAATAAAGGAACAGACTGATGGGCCTGTGGCAAGTTTTATTTATAAAATCATTGTTCAAAGTAAATACTTGTTAAGAGAACCCAATTTGACTAATAGTTTAATTTCATAGGTTTTTAGTTCTTGTACTATTAAGTAAGGAGTATGTTATTAGGTCTCTTTTCAAAGTAGTTTGCACAGTAAATAGGAATACTTTCTCACTGTTCTTAAAATCCTCAATGATGAAACCATGGTACAGTAAAATTATTTCAGATTATTATCCTTCTAGGCAGCTGATATTCTGTACACTGGCTGCTCTGGCTAAGGAGCGAAAACCTTTGGAATGTCTAGATGCCTTTGGAGCAACTGGTAAGTGATAAAGCTTTTTTTGGAACCTCACTTTATCAAATCTGTACAGTATCTTTTCTTTCCTTTTATGTTTTCCTTGTTGTTGTTTAGCCACTTTGAGAACTAAGGGTTTGTTTATATCATGTGAACCTGAAGAGATTTTTTTTTTCCCAGTTTTATTGAGAAAGAATTGGCATACATTACTGTATGGTGTACAAGTTTAATTAAGATGTAGAGCATGATGGTTTGGTTTACATACACAATAGGTTCAGCTAACATCCATCATCTCATATAGATACATAAAAAGAAAAAAAAGTTTCTCCTTGTGATGAGAACTCTTAGAATTTATCCTCTACTTTCCTCTATACAAGTGTTACCTATATTTAATCATCATGTTGTACATTTCATCCCTAGTACTTATTTATCTTATAATTGGAAGTTTGTACATTCTTGCTGGACTTGCTGTACAATATATTTTCTTAGGAAATGTATATGGATATCACATCAAGCAAAGTATTTTTATATTAAAAAAATGCAAGGCAAATTTTTTATTGTGGAAAAGTTTCAAATATATACAAAACTAGAGTGTATAATAAGTGAATTCCTTTATATCCATCACTCAGTCTTATATCTGTATTCCTGTGCACTTTCCCTCATAACTCATTACTCTGTACTCTATCCCCTTTATTTTGAAGCATATCTGTAAATAACAGATACGTCATTTCATCTGTAAATATTTCCATGGGATCTGTAAGATAGTGAAGTGAAAGTCACTCAGTCATGTCCACCTCTTTGCGACCCCTTGGACTGAGTCCATGGAATTCTCCAGGCCAGAATACTAGAGTGGGTAGCCTTTCTCTTTTCCAGGGGATCTTCCCAACCCAGGGGTAGAACCCAGGTCTCCCACATTGTGGGCAGATTCTTTACCAGCTGAGCCACAAGGGAAGCCCAAGAATACTGGAGTGGGTAGCCTATCCCTTCTCCAGCGGATCTTCTGACCCAGGAATCAAACTGGGGTCTCCTGCATTGCAGGCAGATTGTTTACCAACTGAGCTATCAGGGAAACCTGTAAAAGATCAGGACTTTTCAAAATTAAAACCCATATACCATATCACACCTAAAAAATTAAAAATAATTCTTTAATGTCATCAAATGTTTTGATAGACCTAATTATTTCATAATTTTTAAAAAATTTAAGTCAAAATCCAAAGACTATACATTTCAGTTGTTTGATAGGTCTCAAGTCTCTTTTTAATCTATATTCCTTTTCATCGTTTTGTGTGTATGTGTGATAATTTGTTGATATAAGAGGTCATTTGTCCTGTAGAGTTTCCCACAGTCTAGATTCGTGGTTCATATAACATATCCCTCTATTTCTGTAAATTGGTAGTTGGATGTTCAGGTTTGGTCAAATTCAGACAGGATTTTTTTTTTTTTTTTTTTGCAAGAATACTTGTTTGCAGCAGTCAGTGAGCACTTGGTGTTTGGTTGGTGTGTGTGTATGTGTGACGCAGTAAACATTGCCTACATATTAGGCAATGAGATATTATGGTGAAATTTTAAAGACTGAGAACATTTTTCCCAAAAGGACATAACAGTATAGAAAAGATTGGAAAATGTAGAAAATTTCTAAAAAGCCACTTGTACCCTATCCAAGTTTTTCTTCTTAAAAGTTATAGGAGTGTATTCTTGGGAAGTTTGTACCAGTAGGATGAAAGCATGACCTAGCTCTGCTTAAGTTCCTCACCTCAGAGAGAAGTAGTGTTGGAAGCCTGGACGGTGGGGTCAAACTGACTGCATTCAAATCCCAGCTTTATAACGGGCCAGCTGTCTAACCACAGGGAATTACACTTTAATTTGCTTATCTATCCAAAAGAAGGTACCTACCTTAAGATAATGTAAAGATTAAGGAAATTAATACATGTAAAGAAATTAGAACAGTATCTGGTATATAGCAAATGTAATAAAAGTATGCAGTATCATCATTATTGTATTATTATGACTACTATCATCATCATTAGTAATGTGTCAGTGTAGAAATGGTAAAAGTGATGAAGTAACGATTCTAAGGTGATCACATCCTCTGAGTTGGTCAGATTTTAAATATGAATCATTTTTTTATTACTCCTTTTCCCACCACTATCTCCACACAGTCAACTATGGATCTGTTCTAATTTTTCATTTGTATTGTGACTCATACTCTTTTTCATTCCATATCCACCAATAGAGTGATTTTTAGCAATTATATCTGTCTAATCTGTCTTGCATGCTGTTACCAAACAGCTTTTCCTCTGAAACACTGAATTGATAATGTTACTCTTCAGTCAGAAAAGTCATGCATCTTAATTGCCTAGCATTCAGCTTCTCAGATTGCAGTTTAATATCTTCCATAATCTGATCACAGTCTACTTTTCCAGATTTATTTCCCACCATTTTCCCTCACACAATCTTCCTCCACCCTTGTGTTTTACATTCAGTAATATTTATTAGATGTCTATCCCAGGTGGCTTTAGTGGTAAAGAGCCCACCTGCCAGTGCAAGAGATATAAGAGATG